GAACCCCACAAAAAAAAAAAAAAAAAAGTCAGATTACCTGTTGCCAGCATTGTTCTCTAAATTACCAAATGCTTCCTAGATTTGCTCTGCAATTCGGAACTGGAAAGGAGAATTACAGATCTACAGAAAGAACTGAGTAAAGAAATTAAAGAAAATGAAGCTTTACAGAAAGAAATGAACTCGCTTTCAGAGCTGAAATCTCTGCTCCCTGAAGTAGAAACGCTAAGGAAAGAGGTAAGCAGAATTTTAAGCAATTATCCCTAGTTTTGAAATAAAAGTCTTTGAAATACTGCCTTAAGTATTTTGATACCATTTATTTTTACAACACAAAAGAGAAATACTGTAATTCATTTCACGCAGCTTCTCAGCAGTAGAAACTAGACTAGTTGTCTTCTAGCTTAGGCACGCCTTGTTTAGGCCCTGGAAGTGTGTTAGCTTCATACCTGGCAGCACGGCCCCTGTGCTTCCCACCTGGGGCTCCCCTATCACTGCATTAAGTAAGGGGCTGACCATGTAGGGTGTGGTAAAGCTCCTGGGGCCATACAGGCTGTCAGGCAAGTGAGGGATCTGTAAACCCACAGCCTGCCTCCTTTTCCTTCCTTCATCTCTTCCGCTAGGAATAAAAAATAAAAATGGCAAGAATCTGCATAGTACTTACCACATGCCAACATTGTACTAAAATCCTTCAGAAACACTTTTTAAATTGCATTACTTTTTAAAACTAATCGCTGTCACTTCTCAGCCTTTTAGCTAAGGTGAAGCATAAAAGTGGTCCCTTTTAGCCGCCAAACAGTAACCAGGCTAACAGGTGAGCCCCAGAGAGCTGCCGTTTCCCCAGGACAGTAGCCCCTGGTGTGTTACTCTTTCCTTGGCTCTCCTGTTTCCCTCTTACCTTGTTTTTCACAGTGACTTAACTATACATAAGCTAGATAGGATTAACTTTTTAAATAATGCTTTTTAAATTTTTTAAGCAATTCAGCATTGTTTAAATTACTTGTTAACTTTTTGGAAATCTGAGCTTCAATCAAAGCCTTTAGGAGGAAAAAAAAGAAATTCTAAAGACCCAAAATGCCTGCTGCAGAATACAGTTGGAAAATCCTTTAGAATGGTAACAAGGAAATCAGCACCCTATCATTTCCACAGACTTCTGCGCCATGCGATCCTTACCAGAAACCAAAGAGATTTGAAAACAACACAAAAAGTGAAGTTGGACGAGTTAGGGATGTGGGACAATAAGTCATGGCCTTTCCTCAGCTACGTCTTTCTTAGTTTAAATAATTCTCCTTCCCCCAGAGGAAACTCGTTCTCCTGAAAATTGTCCCATATTGCTAACATCCCCAAATCTTATCTCGGACTGTCTCGTAGATACAGGATAAGTCGGAGGAGCTCTGTATGATAACATCAGAAAGAGACAGACTGTGCTCTGATGTGAGCAAGAAGGACAGCAGAATCCAAGGGTTGCTGGAGGAAATTGGGAGGGCGAAAGAGGACCTGGCCACTGCCCAACTGAATTATCAAAGCACTGAGCAAGAGCTTCAAGATTTCAAAATCCTTCACGTGGAATTGGAGCAAAAATATAAAACAGTCCAAGAGGAGAATGAGAAAATGAATCAGGAAGTAGGAAGTCTCTCCAGAGAAGCAGAAACCCTTCGTTTGAGTTTGAACGCTATGAAGACCGAGGTTGGTGTGAAAGGCTCCCTGAGAAATGCCGCTTGGTCTTGAGTTTAACTTCTGCACATGCCATAGAATGAATACTCTGCTCTCACTGTGGCCTGCCCGCTGTCTTCTTTTACAGCTTTCTCAGAACACCCCAGAGCTTCAACAGAAAACAGCCGAGGGTCAAGAAAGACTTCGTGAGGTGGAACAACTAAAGAAAGAGCTAGAGAGGATAAATGATCTCCTGCGAGCTACAGAGGAGGAGAAGGCACTGGTGACCGAGAGGCTGCAGCAAACCCTGGAAGAAGTGCGCAGCTTGGCCCTGGAGAAGGAGGCCCTGAGCCAGCTCCGGGACAGCCTGCAGGCCGAGCAGGAGCAGCTCCGTGGTGACATCCAGGACACAGTGAGCATGGTAAGGTCTGGCGCTCACGTCTAACCTCGGACAGGAGCCATTCCTGTCCCTTGTGACGCAGTACCAGTTCTGAATGACTACGCTTTCTGTTCTAATGGAAATCGTTTCGTGTCTCCCTACAAAGAACATAGACACGCAGGAACAGTTACGAAATGCCCTGGAGTCCCTGAAGCAGCACCAGGAAACAATTAGCACACTGAAAATGAGAATTTCAGAGGAGACATCCAGAAATTTTCATGCAGAGGAAAAAGTCAGAGAAACTGAGCCTGAATTTCACCAAAAGGTAAAAAGTACTTATTTTCTGATTTCTTTGTATTTCTGTATACATCTTCTCTTTAATCCCAAACACTTGGAATTTAATGATTATTTAATCTTAAATATGCCTTATAATTTCAGTTTTGATAATTCACAGTGGTAATAACCAACACTATTATATATAAGCTTAACTTTTTTCTTTTTCTTTTTTTTTTTAATTTATTTATTTGGTATAAGATCTCACTATGCAATTTGGACTCATAGTGATCCTCCTGTCTCAGCCTCCCCAGCACTGGGATTATAGGCATGTGCCACCACGCCAGTGGCCAGCTCAGCACAGGGTCAGCTCGGCATATGGTACCAGGGATCAAACCCAGGTCCTTGCACTTGCCAGGCAGGCACTTAGACTGTGGAGCTGTCTCCCCCACCCACAAGCTCAACCTTAATGTCTTTAAAAGAACTTATAATATTCCTTACGATCAATTTGAAAAGGGCAAAAAAGTAATTCAGACTTTGAAGAGTTACTCTTTTCTGAGGCTTGATGTATTTTGAATATCTTTAAAGGCCTTTCTGAATCCTACCATGAAAGACTAACTACTATTAATTATGGCTAAAACTTATTTAATATCAGATTTTCTATATTAAAGTTGCTTAGGCCAGGGAGATGGCTCAGTAGAATAAGCTCTTGTCTGGCAAGCACAAGGGCCTGAGTTCAATCCCCGGTTCCACAAATAAATAAATAAATAAATAAATAAATAAAGTTGCTTAGATTTCACAGTTTAGTCTATTACAGGGGAAATTGCCCGTGAATTTTTATAACTTTCTTCCCAAAATACCTTTAAACTACACATAATAAATTTTTAATAATATCTATCATTTTAAATCATACTCGATACCACTTAACCGAGCATATTAACTACTATAATTTTAAAATACTAAAAATTCTTAGCCAGGCATGGTGACGCACACCTGTCATCCCAGTACTTGGGAGACTGAAGTAGGAGGATCATTGTGAGTTTGAGACCAGCCTGGGCTACAAAGTGAGCTCAAGACCAGTCTGAACTGCATAGGAAGACCCTATCTCAAAAAAACCACAAAAATAAATAAATAATAAAATAGCTTTCAATAGCAGATGGGTAAAATAATCCTCATACTTCCAGAGTTTGAAGAGTATACAGCATATATATTTCTTTAGTTTGTAGTTAAATGTCTGTAATATAAAATGTACCCCTTAATAATTTATTATTCTACAGCTGAATAGTGTTGAGTTCTCACATATTATTGTACCACCAGTTTTCAGAACTATTTTCATCTTGCAAAATTAAAAATATTAAATAACAGCTCTGAGTTCAGATTTACAATGTAGCTTGGTATCATTACAGAAAAGCATTTGTATCTACAATGCCAAAGTAAAGATGCAAAATTTTGAACTGTAAAATCTTACCAACGAGGCCCAAAAGACCAACGTGTCTTGTAGTTAGCTCTGCACTGATACATATGCCAACCAGTAAAATTGCAGCCAAGCAAAATCTAGTTTTATCTATATAGAACCAGTCTTCTAAAGGTAACCATTTGAAGATTACTTAACAACATGAGAAAACATGTATGATCTCATTGGAAAAGGTGGGCAGAAGATACCATACCTATGTAAATTAAGTGTAATAGCTAATGTTTATAAAAACCTTTTAATGGAAAAACTCTGAAAGAAAACACATTACAATGGTGATTTTGTGAGTATGATGACAGTTTGGCAGTTTCTCTGCTGCTGAGCTATAACTTGGGGTGATTTTTTTTTTCCCTTTGTTTTTCTTTTCTAATGGCCATTATAAATACTTCCAAAAACATGTGTGCTCAGTATGGGCTGAACTGTGTCAATCTGCATCTTCCTTTACCAAAAGTTGCTATATCCGGTTAACTTTGATTATGGTGTATTGATGGATTAATGAATTATTATCACATGCTTTTTTAAGTATAGAAAAATATTTATTAAGAAAAATAAATTACACTTTTGCAAAATAAACTAGATCTCTATCAAAATCATTTTGTCCTCTTGTAAAATTCCAGCTTCTTATGAGTAGAACTGCTCTGAGAAATGCAGCTTCGCTGGAAGAGGGGTTAGAGAGAATGCCAATAAAGTAGTAAAAATAAAGTAATAGAGTCTGAAGTCTATTGCTCCTTCCTCAAAAGTAAAAACGAAGCGCTACAAGTGTGCATCTCAGGAAATACATATAGACAGTGGGTAGAAAGGAAGGGCATCTGTCTTTCAGCTGGGTGATTCCTTGGATGTAATCACCCATAAAGTCATGTTATCCTGTATGTGAAGCAGCCTGCACTATTCACAGCTGCCAGTCATTCTCACCCATGAAAGGGTTCAGGGCACAGGCGGTGGCACGTGACTTTAAGCACACAGTACAGCTTCCCTGGAGCAACACTTCTCCACCAGCCAGGCAGGGATGACGATAACACCAAACTCGTAGCGTGGTAGTAAGGTAAGATGTGTTGAGATATGGGAGTAGTGCCTGGCATATGACAGCCTCTAAATGTTGGCTGTTCTAATAGTCGATTAAAGTGGTTATTAGCACTTGAGAAATTCTTCTTTAATTTCTATTTTAGATGAATGGCTTGAATGTAGAACAGAATTTGGAAGCTGAAATGACTCCACTGTTGGCAGATGTGATGGACAGTGAGGTAGTTGAACTGCAAAAGAAGATATGTTCTTTAATACAGGAGAAAAATGAACTCCAACAAATGTTAGAAAGTATTAAAGCAGAAAAAGAACAATTGAAGACTGATCTAAAGGAAAATATTGAAATGGTAAGAGTGGGCACTATATATATTCAGTGATACATGTTGTCTTTGTTTTAGATTTTTACCAACTTTATGAGGTATAATCAACAATAAATGGACAGTTGCATGACTTCTGGCAAATCTGTGGGCTCTATCTGTGGGCTCCTCACACAGGTGAGGTCATCGGGAGGCATACATTGAGCTGTTTACACTCTCTCTCACCAGCTTCTGATGCTCAATGGTGTGTTTAGTTTCAGCTATTCTGATGAACGTGGACCTTATTGTTTTCATTCACTTTTCCTTTGTAGTATAGAATAAGGGTGTTGAGCTTTTCTCATGCTTCTTGGCTATTACATGTCTTCTGTAATTTATTGCTCACTGGTGTGTTACAGATTTTCAGTGTATAGATCATTTTATACATTTCATTCAAGTTGCACCAAAGTATTATTCTTGTACAACAAGTTCAGAAGAGAGTGCTATACAAAATGCCAATGAGAAGGAACAAAATGTAACCTCTGAGCCCAAGCCTACCCATAACAAGTGCAGAGGACACTAGCTCAGCTCAAATGTATGAATTAATAGCATTGATAGTAAATAAGCAACATCAGAAAGTCATAGAGGAACTCAGAGCAGAATTCTTTTCTACTAGCTCAGCTCAAGTTCATAAAGCTTTGTAGAAACATCTTGTTTTGAACCAATGCACCCTGACTCCAAAAATTGTGTCATCCACTTTCCAATTATAATTTGTACTAATTGCTCCACAAAATATTATGCAGTAAAGAAGGCATAGAATAGAAAATTCTTTAACAACATTTTCCTCCCTATGAGCTGGTATTTATTATCTTGACTTGTTTGGGAGCACAAGATTTTCCTAGTAGCATCATATCAGTTTGAATCAATAATCATAGACCATGTTTAAGATAGGACAACTGAAATTTCTAGAGAAATGTCATGAATGTCTTTTTCCTTAAAATGTAATATATTTAATCTATGTATTCCTTTTTGGATTAGATGATTCTCTTGAGTGTGACACCAGGCTGGGTTTTGTGTTTTGATCCATTCTGCCAATCTGTTACTGTTAACTGGGGAGTTGAGAGTTATAGCTGAAAGGCATTGTCTTGTCAATGGTGTTCATTTTCTGTAGTTTACTTCTTTAGATTTAAAAAAAATAAATTAAACTACTTGCTTTGAAAAAAAAAAAAAGTATTATTCTTACTTAAGATGTTTTAATTTTTAATTTTATTTTCAAATATTGGGGTGTTGCCAATTTTTTAATACTAGTTTTGATTTTTACCTGTGTTTAGAGGCAATATAATGCTGGTATAGGTTGAAATTAATAATTTGAAAAGTTCACTGTGAATCACAAATTTTTTTGGTTTTAATTTTCCATGTTTCCTAGAAATAAGTGCTGAAATTAATTGAATTATTAATTATTAATTGTTTTATTTCTGGCTTGTTATATTTTTGTGCCCTTGATTCCTGAGAATATCAGGAGCTTAATGATAGATTATTCCCATGCCAGCAGGGTGACTGCTGTTCTGGACTTGCTGGTGATCAATGCTTAAAACCAAAACCATCCAGCATATAGCAGACCTGTGATTTCAGTCGTGTTTTCTGTCTGTGAAAGCTCAAGCCTTCCTTTTGGTTTAGGCATCAAAATAAGCTGAACACTCTCAATAGTGATAAATCTAATCCTAAATCTCATGATAGGAATGTAAGTTGAGCAATAAAGAAACAGATGAAGGGCTGGCCAATAGCTCAGCGGACTAAAGCGTCTGCTTAGGCAGAGCACAGCAGCCAGGGTTCAATCCCTGGTGTGCCATGCCAGCCCTGTCCCCGGGGCACACTTTGAGGGCAGTTGAGATTGGGCATGGTAGCATGCATCTGTAATCCCAGCACGTGGGAGACTGAAAACAGGAGAATCACTACAAGTCTGACTTACATAGTGGTGAGACTCTTTAGACTCTGTACTAAGTACATTTAAAAAAATGAAACAGATGAAAAGTAGATTCTTAGCATTTGTATGATAAAAGACTCCCTTTCTTTAGATTAGTCCTTGTCTATATAGTTTGCCCTAATTTCTTTATTTGCAGACTGAGGTAAATTCTGATTTTTTAACCTGTTTTCATAAATATAAGCTAATAGTATATATTTTAACCTCAACCTTTAAAAAAAATTCTAGACCATTGAAAATCAAGAAGAATTAAGAATTCTTGGAGATGAACTTAAAAAACAACAAGAAATAGTAGCACAGGAAAAGAACCGTGCCATAGAGAAAGACGAAGAGCTTGCCAGGACCTGTGAGAGACTGGCAGAAGTTGATGGAAAGCTAAAGGAAAAGGTAAATTCTTAAACGGGCCATTTTCCTGAGTGAGCTTTTTTCTATTCCCATACTCCTAAATGCAGAGAGCGCACATATGCCTACAGTGAGCAGATCTCATCACTGATATTTTAGGCAGCTTCACTTGTACTCAGTAAGATCTCAGCTAACTTTCCTTGTGAGAATGGTATTGTAGAGCCCATAGGTGAGGCAGGCCTTGTCTCTAAGATAATCAGGGGGTATCGGCATTGACCGGCAGGCACTGTCCTGAGCACTTGAGACACATTAAGTCAACGAAGATCCTCCCCCTGTAAAGATGTACTAAGACTTAACCCTGAGCACCACCTCTTAAAGTCAGCAGTTTCCTGAAGAGAAATGGGATGCCATTGTAGTACATGTGTAAGACGTAAGCGTCCTGTAGCAAATTGTGTGGCCTGGGGGATTCTGAAACACACCACAGAGATCTTTCTGTTCAGGCTAAGAGCAAAGGTCCTAGATGCACACAATTGAAGTGACCCCTCTGAAGGCTTATGGAAGAACCTACCTATACCTCTTCTGGGCTTCTAGAATTTCTCAGCTGCCCTGGGCATTTTTTGACTTGCAACCACACCGCTCCCAGCTCTGCTTCTGTCTTCACATGACCTCTGGTCTGAGCTTACTTGTGTCCTTTTGTATCTGCCATAAACTCACCATCCTTGCTTTGTGGACCTCCCCTGATCCATCTGTGTCTCTTGTTGGTCCTTCCTAACTACATCTGCAAACATCTGAATTTTACGTAGGGCATGATTTAACCTATTACAAACACTAGCCTAGAAGGTTAGTTTACTTTTTTTAGTGTTCCTTGACAATCTCTACTGGAGTAGTACATAGGGCTATACTAATGTTTTACATAAAATTGTTAGAAAATATTGGAAAAATGGTAATTATAAAAATTTTATATCTTAAGAATGAGCAACTCCAAGAAAAAGAACAACAGCTCCTAAATACACAAAAGGAGATGAGTGAGATGCAAAAAAAGGTAAAAGAAATGGAGACCCTACAGTGTGAGCTAAAGAAGCAGGAAGCCAGGATGGAGCACATGGAAATGGAGAGGCTTGAGCTGGCCCAGAAACTACATGAAAACTGCGAGGAAATGAAGTCCCTAACTAAAGAAAGAAACGATCTGAAGGAATTACGGGTGTCATTTGAAGTAGAAAGAGACCAACTTAAAGAACACATAAGCAAAACTGAAGCTGCAGTAAGTTATACTGACTCAATGGTTAGAGGAAAGAATACATGTAGACGTTCACACACACACACCCACCACAGGGTTATTTATCGTAACAGTTTATAATAAAAATGGGAATCACCTAAATGCGCTACAAAGACTGAGTGTGGTGGCACAAGCCTGTAATCCCAGTACTTGGGATGTTGAAAACAGGAGGATCACTGAGTCTGATCTACATAGTGAGACCCTGGAGAGCTTGTACTAAATACATATTTTTTTTTCTTTTCAAAGTTTTATTGATAAACAGATAGCAATGAGACAGTATCAAATCAAATCGGAAGTACAGTTTCAACAAATAATACACTGCATATATTCTTCTTAGTGGTTAATTGCTGTACAAGATGCAGACTTGTGATCCTACTTACAAACACCATTAGAAAAAATCATTCTATTCATTAAGAGAATGCAACTATATATCCATCCCAACCACTTTGAATACACAGATACAAAATGGACATTCATAGTTATACCCCAATTTTTTTTTAAGTTCCGTTGTTGAATATTATAGGTGTGTAAACTCAGCAAAATATTCTAAAAGAGTCCAGTAGCCCATAATAGCATTGGGTCTTCTGTTTCACTGGCAATGTCAGAAATTATTGACCTGAGTCCCCCACAGCTCAATATAACAACATGACTTTACTTCCTATATTTCGTCTTCATACTTTTCTACTGGATGGTTAAGACCAAGGTAAAGCAGGACCTGTGCAACAAGAGTTGTAGCTTTTTGGACTGAGAAGGTCAGTGAAATGCCCTCAGGATTTATCCTGAGATCCTGTACCTCAGATTGTAGAACCTTTATCAGTGTCAGCCATGTGGATGAGTCACGGCCATTGCTTGGCCAATGTGCTCTCTGTGAAAGCCTGAGAGAGTGTCTTCTCCCCATGTGACTCTCCTTAGGCACACTCTACGTCATCGATCACTTTCCTCTTTGGCCCCATAATCTTCTTGATCAGAAAATTTGGGACACTACCGAGTATACTAAATACATATTAAAGAAGAAATTCTGAATGCTCTGCATATGGAAATTGGGTAGATAGAAGGACTGTGTATAAGTCCCATGTGACCCTTAGAGAAAGAAAGACACACACAGGTGTGGGTGCCACCCAGGAAGCCAGGCTGGACCGAGGGCCACAAGCAGGCCCACGGGGGGGGGGGGGGGGTGCAGTAATTTGCTTCTCCAGTAAGAGAAGGGGGGAAGGGCAGCTGTCACTTCCTGCTGCTGAGGTATGAGCACAGGTGCCAGTGTCTCGCTGAGAACTGGAGTCCCTTTGTCCAACAGTAAGTTGTGTGGCTCTTTCCAAGGTGCTACAGAAGCAGGAGGAGCTCAGGATTGCTTATGCGAATCTCAAAGAACACCAGGAAACTACTGATGAGCTTAGACGGCTTGTTTCAGAGAAGACAGATGAAGTGTCGAACATGAAGATGGATTTAGAAAATTCCAATGCTGAATTACAAGAAAAGGTATGGGAGAGGAGCTTGTTTGACTGTATGTCTGCTATGTTCTTTCCTAAAACCCTCTGGGATCTAAAGTCATTGAGAAGCAGTGGGACAGCACTCACCAGTGCTAATGGTGAACCTGCGAGGCCCAGCATCCCCTCTCAGGGTGCACACCCCAGCAGAAGAGAGCAGAGACTGAGGAGTATTCATGGCAGCTCTTAGCAATATAGTGCAGAACACAAAGCAGCCCAGGCATCTGCCACAGGAGGACAGACAAGGCATGGCTGTGATGATCAGGGACGACAAGGTCACAACAGTGCTCCTAGGAGGGGCACACGGGGTGCTGCGGTGTCCTCTGCTCTGGTCCCAGTAATAGTGTTATGGATGTATGCATATATCAGGAATAGTTAAGCTACGTGTCTAAGATCAGTGTATTTTACATTTTACCTCACAAGAAAGTAATATGTGCATTTATGCAGGATATCAATGAGAATAACATGAGACAGATACTCTGGGTAGTACTGGGAATTGAACCCAGAACCTTTGCACTGAGCTACATCCACAGCCCTTTTTATTTTCTGAAACAGGATCTCACTGAGTTGCCTGGGCAGGGCTTGAAATTGCTACCATCCTACTTCCACCTCCCAGAGTGCACTGCCATTCCCTGTGAGGAACACCATCGTCTTTCTTTTTTTTTTTTTTTTTTTTTTTTTTTTTTTGTGTGTGTGTGTGTGTGGTACAAGGGATTGAACTTAGGACCTTGCACTTGCTAGGCAGGCACTTATTCTACTGAGACATCTCCCTGGCCCCAGGAACACGATAGTCTTAATCTAGAAACTTTTTAACTTTCCCTTTTTAAAAAAAAAGGCTGTATGTGGCTGTGGTGGCACACACCTGTAATCCCAGCACTCAGGCTGAAGCAGGAGGATGATCACTGTGGGTTCTAGGGCCAGCATGAAATGTATAGAAAGATCCTGTCTCAAAAAAACAAAATGCTGTGTCCTAACATTATTTTATGATTCCCTTGAGATTCGAAAACTGAACAAGACAAATGAACACCTACTTCTTAAATTAAAAGAAGATGTCAGCGAGACACAGAAACAGCTCAAGGACCAGAGCTTAACGCTAAATAAAATGGAAATGGAAAATTTAAATTTAGCTCAGAAACTTCATCAAAACCTGGAAGAAATAAAATCTGTGGCAAAAGAAAGAGATCACCTGAGGAGTGTGGAGGAGACCCTCAAGCTGGAGAGAGACCAGCTCAGGGAGGCCCTGCAGGAGGCCACAGCCAAAGTGAGTTGTACACCATCCTGCTGCCTGGTCCAGGATTTCTGAGAGCATGTGGCCCTCTGTGTGTGACAACTGTCACAGCCTCAGAAAACCATTCACTGTAGGAGCTCCACTTCCAGGGATGCGTCCTGACACAGGCACACATCCAGGCAGGGAACAGCCGTGTCCTCTGGGGGCATTGGGGCCACCAAAGTCTAGAAGCCACCCACGCGTCCAGCAAGAGGGCCTGGGCTCTGTGGGATTCCCAGGACTGGGGTATTTTTCTCTCGGTCCCTTGGGCTGCTCCTGTGGGAGTGGGGTGCTTCTTTTTAACTGATCGTGCAGTTTTCAGTTGTTTGAAGTAATCATTAGAACAGTAAGTGTTGCTTTATGTCTCTAATAAAGGATCTGGAAACACAACAAGAACTAAAAATTGCACATAAGCATTTGAAAGAACAAGAAGAAACTATTGAGAAATTCAGAGAGAGGCTTTCAGAAAAGACAACTCAGATTTCAAATATGCAGAAGTCTTTAGATCAATCAAAAGATGAATTACAGGAGAAGGTATGTGTTATTTTCTTCTTGTTTGGAATCTAAGTGTGTCCAGAATTATTTGTCAAATGAGAAGATACAGATATGTAGGACTGAATACAGATTTGAGTATCCCTAATTCAAAAATCTAAAATCTGCAGTGTTCTGAACTCCAAAACTTTTTGAGCATCAATTTAAAGTTCAAAAACTATGTGATTTCAGAGTATTTTAGATCTCAGATTTTTGGATTAAGGATTCTCAACCAGTAAAATCTTACAGTATTCCAAAATCAGAATACTCATTTCAGATAAGGGAAACCCAGCCCTTACCTTGCCTATATGTACAAGTGTAACCAGACACTTCTTTGCATTCTAACTTGTTTTGTAATTATCTCAAGATCCAAGAACTTCAGCAGAAAAAGCTTCAGCTTCTTAAAGTAAATGAAGATGTCAATGAAAGTCATAAAAAATTGAATGAAATGGAAAAATTGAGGCAGCAATTTGAGGCCCACACAGTGTCTGTGCCAAGTATGGATGTGGATAACTTGTACTGGACTAAGAAACTTCATGAAAACCTAGAAGAAATCAGGACGGTAGCTAAGGAAAACAGCAAGCTCAGGAGGATGAAAGAGTCTCTCCAAAGGGACAGAGGCCAGTTCAGAGAAGCCAGGAGGAAAGTGGTAGCTAGTGGGCGTTCAGAGCCTTCCCCTCGCTGTGAAATATCTGTAAGAATTGGGCTTTTTTGAAAAAGAACAAATATGGGGTGCTTTGTTTTCTGGAAATTTCTATGAGCAGTAAAGGTTAGTGGGAAAATTTATCTAATTTTTACAAAATAGTAAAACATTTTTTTAAAAGAGAAATAAAAAATTTCCAGAAAATGCCACTTAATATTTTTTTATTTGTAAGAAAAAAATGTAATAAAGCAGCCTATTTTCCTTAATATAATTTAAATTTTTTAAAACAGGAAATAGTGTTACTATAAATGAGATGTTAAAAAGATTATATTTGTCATCAAAAATTAAAGCACTCATTTGTATCCCTTTGTTGTTAGAGTTTTAGAAATGGGCTCTTACTGCTCAAGCAGCTGGAATAGGAAAGGCAAGAGAAATATAGAAGATAGAGCCTGCGAGATAGCTCAATGGACTAAGCACCTGCTTTGGCAAGCACAGGAACTAGGGTTGGATCCCCAGTCCTACGCCCGTGGCTCCCTGAGCCCACTACAGAGTCTGGGCATGGTGGCACACACCTATAATCCCAGCGCTGGGGAGGCTGAAAACAGGAGGATCACTACAAGTCTGAGCTGCATAGTGAGATCCTGTACCAAATACACAAAGGAAAAGAAATATAGAAGATTTTCTAGTTTGACTTTATGGGGAGTCAAAATAATATAGCTTTAAAGGCCTAAACTAAGAAGAAACAAAACCATAGGCGGTCTTTAGAAAATATTTTCATTTCCATAATTTAATGAAGCAGTAGAAAGAAGTAGTATTTAGTCTCAACAAAACATTGACTACTGGACAGCCATCCTTATGTGGGCCCTAACTAAACTGATAAAGGGACTTAATTTCATAAGCATTTGTTGAAGGGCTAGCCATTCTTCCAGGCACAGAGTGGATAGGTCATCTAAGGAAGAGAAAGTGAGTTTTTTGTTTTGCACTTGTTAAGCAGAAATGTAGACTATAAACAGATATTTTCTGTTGCAAGTGGCCAGGAAGAGTACCACCAGAGCTTGAAACATGAACAGGACAGATGGTTCTGTGGGTATTTACCTGGCAGAAATAATTGTAATGAGAGATTTGGATGAGCAGGAAGCAGAAGTACATCTGAAACCAAATTTGCAATCATGGAGACTAAGTTCTGTCTCTGAGACCTGGTAGTTTTCACTTCTCCCCAGGAGTAGTGTCACGCTGCGATGTAGCAGCACCAATGTGCAGCATATGCTGCCCTTTCTGAGTCTGAGGTGACTCTGAGTGTGGCTGAGCCTGTTTGCTTCTTTGCCCAGGACCACCGGCCCCGTCGGGAGGCTGTGGACTCTGGAAGGAGGTCACCGGGTGGTGGAGAGCAGCCTCTCCTGGGAAGCCTGAAGGAGAAGTGCCTCCGGATAGGAGTAAGTGTCCCTGTCACCCATGTGAGTCTGCTGTGCCCAGAAGGGGCCTCCTGGCTCTGGCATGGACCCACGGGGACCTCTTAGAGGTGGTGACCATTTGGTGTTTCTCTCAGCTTTGCCACCTGTAAAGGGCAGTGTGCAGACAAAGCAGGGGATGCAGGACTGTGAAGGCCTTCTGCACAGGGGACAGTAGAGCACATACCCGGAAGGACCAGAGGGTCGCCATGCAGCTACAAAGGCAGAACTTTATAGACAGGGAATCCTTGTGTACAGTTGACTTCTGGGCAGCCCCTGCCTGGTGGCTCAAGGAGCGGAGACCACAGGGGTTGGGGCCCGACAGGACTCCGGATTTCCTCTGGGTGACGATGCTGCCAAGAGTGATGACCGCAGGAGGCCATGAGCTGACACTTAGTAAAGGGACAGTACACTGCTATGTTGGAATGGCCTAGAAGCAGCAAGGCATTTGAAAGACCAATTGTAGTAGCCCATCTTTATCCCATTCTTGATAGCAGTCAAAGCTCAGTGTTCTAACGTAGTTGACACACAAACCAATAGTATAGTAGGAGTCTCTCTTCAGCCACCACACCAACAGTAGCTTTTCTTACTAAAAACCAAAGGCCTGTTATGTTGCTAAGCACCCAGAACTAAACATGCACTTGTGCAGGGGACTGCAGCACTGGACCCAGACATGTCCTTCCCTACTCCAGGGAGCATGATGCCTGCCTGGCCTCCCCATCAGGTGCCTCCCTGTGCCACCTCAGCTGAAGGTGCTGGCCCCAGGAGAGAGGTTGTGTTGATATACTTGTGAAAGGTGCAAGAGAGGAAGCTTGGTATTGCCCACAGTGACACAGCTGGCAAATTGGCAGAGCAAGAATTTGAGTCTGCTGGGTCTAATTATAGAAATTATATGTTTATGCCAATATAATTTCATTTCTTTCCAGTTCTAATGTCTCTATTTTGTAGATTATACACCTTATGTGTGTAGTTTGTGTTTCATCTGATCCCCTAGAAAGTTGTGGCATTACTGAATGGTCATGTTATACTTGAGCACAAGGTGACTTCCTATGCCTGTCAGCAGGGACCAGAGCTCCAGCTCTGGTGAAGGGTTAGAAAACAGTCTCTTCTGATCATGAGTGTGTAGGTGGCTTTCCAGAGGTGGCAGAGGGGCCATCATTCAGATCATGAAGGCTCGAAAGACTAAAACAAAATGTGTCCACATTGTGACAGTATTGTGGGGCTGGGGCACCCACCTAACATGCCCAAGGCCCTGGGCTCAATCCCCACTACCCTTACGAAAATGATGACAATTTTGTGTCTTGCTTTCTTCATTGTTATTTTCCTATATTATTTTAGTTCCCACAAATGTATAATTTCTATAACCCCAGATTAATGTTTTTCTTTTTTTTTTTTTTTAAACATAAAGGTCTTCATCTTTCCTACAGAAAATGTTAAAATAGAAGTTGTGTTACAGTTTTAGGAGGAGAGCTACTTAATGTTAAATTGAATGAATTTTAACTTTCCTTTAGGAGCTTCTGAAGAGATACTCAGAGATGGGTAGTCAGTATGAATGCCTGAATGGGTTGTGTCTTGACCTGGAGAAGGAACTTGAACTCAGGGAGGAGCTTTCAATGAAAGTAAAAGCAAACCTCTCACTTCCATACCCAGAAGCCAGACAGTTTCAGAAACTACTCGCTACCAACCTGAACCGTTCCATGGAATTCCAAAGAGTCATCAAGAAACTTAAGGTACCACCATTTTTTACTAATATCCATGTAAACACAGCTGCAGACTCAGAAATTCGTGAGTTGCTCTTTAGAATCCTTACCACAAACATAAAGAGTTCTTGAATCCCAGAACACTGTGTGTAGGATTCTTGGCACATCTAGTAGCCATTCACTCAACAAACCCAGGCTTTGCCAAGAGGCCTTGACTCCTGGGTCAGAGTGCTCAGGAGACAGATCTGAGTCCCATCATAGACATCTTGTACTCCGGTGGGTAAGGTAGCCGTGTAACCAGGGAACACACGCAGGGATACTGGTGCATGCAGGTGAAATGACATGGCACACATCAGGGGCGGCAAAGTTGGGGCTGATTTTAGAGATGTTGGAGACAAACAGGTGTTTAAGTAGTGGTAGCAGCAGGAAGAGGACAGTGCTCAGGTACTTCACCACAGAACCGAGGGGAGACAAAAGGCAGGCACAATGAGAAACGTTACTGTGCTGTTGGAGAAGTTCCTAGAGGCTGAGAGAAGACAGGGTGAAAAAACAGCAGCATCAAGAGCCAAGCTCAGGTGGTCATCGTAAAAGTAAAGCAGACACATTTGGATTGAGTCCCAGGATTTGTGAGGATAGTTATTGCCATTAACCAAGGTAGAAAAGAAAAGAAGAGAAGCAGGGGGTGAGGCAGGAGAGTTGAGGGACTTTGGGTGAAGTGTTTGAGGCTGAAATAGCCATGAGGAGACATCTAATAAGAGAAGCCAAGTAGACGTTCAGCTGTGAGTCTGGGTTCGACAGCAGAAAAAGCATGGCTGAGATTTGGGGCCTGCCAGCAGAAGAGAGATCACATACTGTGCCTGAGGGTCCACAGTGTGGTGACAGCACTCTGGAGAGGCCCCCCAAGGGCAAGGGCTCCATGTGGGAGGGTTCAGAGACAGAAGAGAAGCAGGCAGAGTGCATCAGCATGGAGCGAGATGGGCCCCGGAGTGCCCATGTGACTCGGGTGGCTGTCAGGTTTTTGCCCCTGCCCCCAAAGCCTCTCCAGTTGCAATAACCCTCCCACTATCGTGGACAGATCTCCAAAGCTCACTTGCAAGGTCCATGAATGTGTGGCCTTGAAGTGATTGTGATCTTGCGGCCTAACATCTAAACTCACTTGACAAGGAACCCTGAGGGGGGGCGCCTGTCATGGGTTGTCCAATCTTGGGGTCAGGGGAGAGCTCTCAAAGGCATCCCCAGTGCCTGACAGGGCGCTGTGTGAGTAGCAGCTTGTCCCAGAGGGTGAAAGCAGGCAGGAGAGGGTTTAACCACAACATGACCACCAGTGAAAGTGTTTAATTTGTTCTGCTAGAATGAACTAAGCTATGCAGCAGAGATGAAGGAAGAAGAGCACGGATCCATTAATAAGTTTGAGATGGCTCTCATCGATGAAGTGGAAAAGCAGGATGAACTGCGCGTTAAAATGCGGCACTTCCAGCAGGAGGATGAGGGCCTGTCCTCAGAATCCAGGCACCGCAAGTTGAACAAGCTTCTGGATATGCATGTCGAGGTACAGTTTATTTTAAACAGATCCAACAAATAAATTTTAATCCCTTTTACCAAATAGAAAACCTCCTTTCCATGTGCGCCAAGCCATTTATCGGAAACAAAAAAATGGGCTGCAAGGTGACAACTGGCAAGACATCAAGATGGCCCACAGTGGGCCACCTCCTTTCTGCTTGCTGTAGACACCATAAATCGGGTAACACAAGCAAGCAGGGACTCGTGGAACCCGAAGACCTTTGCTGATTCTTCTGCTAGAAAACTAATCTGTAGAACGTAGGAAGATCTCAAAAACATTAGGCCCCTTCTAAAACTTCTTGCCTGTGCCCCGGGACTCAGAAAATCCTGCCCCACAGCAGTTCCACAGTTCACAGTTCCCTGCTGGCTGCTGTGCACACAGAAGACTGGTATCCAGGACCCTTGGTGTCTGGGGACAGTCAGTCACAGGTGTGTTGTCATGACGAGTCCGGCTCTAACAGGTAGAACTAAGAATGTGCCTCTCACACAGCAGAGTGCCAGAACGTTACTGGGCAGATAATGAAAGTTTAGATCAGAATTATATTTACAGGTTGGCTTTAAATCATTATGAAAAACTGAGAGTCCAGTAGTTCCTTTTTATGCTATTTATAGTGCTTTGTATCTCATCTGATATTTCCAGTCAAGCTTTCCTGGTGATGAGGCAGTTCCATACCTATTTTTCACACAGGAAATTCTCAAAGATTTCTCAGAAAATGACTTCCCCAGCATAAAAATGGAACTTCAACAGATACTGAATAATAGGAAAGAAATGATTAGGTTTTTGGAAGAGTGGTTGAGGACTCACTTTGACATAGAAAAACTCAAAAATGGCCTCCAGAAAGAATACAAGAGCATTTGCCAAGTGAATAACTTCTATAATGACAAAATAACTGTAAGTATCAATGTTTTAGTCTATCTCATCCTTACTTCCTTTGCTTTAATTTTCTATCTTGTTTCTAGAATGACTTGATTTTAACTATGGCTTTATGAAACACACTGACTTTGTAAAACATTCTTCCTATAACATACTATGCTTAAGATAATTAAATGCTGTATGTAAACCTAAATTATAAAGGTAGCAGAACTGGTGTTTATAAGGTGTGTCTTTTGCAAAAACACATGCTCTCTGAGTCCGTGGCCCATCTTCTCCCTCTCTCGGCGGTCTTTTGCTGTCCTGATTTTTGTGTGAAGAAAGCCAGCCTGTCCATCATGGCTTTCCTAGACCTTGCCTTTGTGGCTGTGTCTGAAAGGCACTGTCAGACTCAAGGTCACCTGGGTTTCTCCTGTTACCTGCTAGGAGTGTTAAATAGTTTTTAACTTTATGGTGAAGCCCATGATCCATTTTAAGTTGTGTATTGTATCATTGTGCTGTTCTTGTCTGTTTAGGGAGGGCATACGTGTGTCTGGCATCACCTCTCTATTTTCAGATGCGCAGTTTGCTAGGGACATCGCTGAAGCACTTCCTTTGCTGTGTGCTGTCTGTGCACTTGCGTCAGACAGGAGCTGCCATGGGTCTGTCTCTGACCCAACCGCTCATGTAGCCCTACACAGAGTTCTGTAGTGTGGCACCCTTGGCCCTAAAACTGCCACCTTGAAAGTTTAATTATTCATCCTGAGGTGATTGGCCCACACGACTGGATTCCTGGGAAGCAGCCTGGCTCAAGATGAGTGTGATAGCATGCTTTGCTGTTTCTTAGCCAGCAGGTCTGCTCTCCTTTCTGCTGCCCCTCCTGCATGTGCTTGCTGACGTATGGTCAGAAGGTTGCTTCTGTGGCTGAGCTGAGTGCAGAGGGAGCTGGGTCCATCCATAGCCTCTGGATCCACTCACTGTGTTTGAGCACTTCTCTTGACACTTGAACTTCATTTGTGAACAAACCATATTGAAATAAGAGATAATGCTTTTTAGATGGAAAGTTTAAATGGGGAGCTCAGCCCATCTGTGAAACAGTAACTGACTCATTCAAAAAACAGTCCAGGGTCAACAAAGAAAGGCACAAAACCAACATTTGATAAAGTAATCTGTGTATATTGGTGGGTACTTTTCTTGTAATATTGAGAGCCCACCTGCAGTTAGATTAAACAGCAGGGATCTCGCCGTGTGGCTCAGCATGGCCATGTGGCCTCTTCTGGCACTCTGAGAATAGGAATTGATAACTTTACGTGGTTTAAGATCAGCAGACCAGAGCCAAAAACAGTCCTAGATGCCAGAAGGAACAAATTCACTGAAGATTGAGCCAGGCACACTAGCGTATACTGTAGCCCACTACCTGGGAGGCTGAAGTAGGAGGACTGCAAGTTCAAGCCAGCCTGAACGGCTTAGCAAGTCTTTGTCTCAAAATAAAGTGACAAAAGGGGCTGGGGATGTAACCCAATGGTGGAGTGTCCCTGGGTTCACTCCAGGGTCTTGCAATACCCCAGGCTAGCAGTGAGCACAAAGCCCCAGAGAAATGATCTATCAATCACAAGGTACTCATGACAAGTGCATAAAGTGCACTCCACAGGAAGTAAAAGGTATGTGTAACTTTGATGTAGAAGAGAATATTGAGGGCTGGCCAAATAGCTCAGTGGATTAAAGCACCTGCAAGCAGACGCAGGGGCCAGGGCTTCAATCCCTGGGCCTGCTGTGCCAGCCCCACCCCCAGGGCATACTGAGATGGCAATTGAGACTGGGTGTGGTGGCACGCACCTGTAATCCCAGCTCTTGGGAGGCTGTAAACAGGCAAATCACTATGAGTCTGATCTAGCAGTGAGCCCCTGAACACCCAACCTGTAGACTGTTCCCTAAAATACAAAAAAAAAAAAAAAAATCAAGACTATTGATCAAAATGCTTTCCTGTGCACAAAGCTACAATATTTCCAGACTAATTACCAAATGTTGGGGCAAGCGAGATAGCTCAGTGGTCTAAAGCACATGCTTAGGCAAGCTTAGGCAAACACAGGGACCGTGGTTTGATCCAAGCACCACATGCTGCACCAACCCCACTCCCAAAGCCGGCTGAGCAAGCCACCAAAAAAAAATCATAATTACCAAATGTCAGGTGAGTCGGTTCCCTTAAAAACACAAGAAATGTGATAAGCGGTAAATAGGAGATTGCTGTGTTTACTAGCTCTCTGCTATGGGCCAGTTCCATCACCAGCCGTGGCCCAGTTGAGGGCCTTAGCCTGCGCACTTCCACCTCCTCCCCGAGTGCTAGCAGGACCCCGAGTCCTGTCACCTCTGCAGACCAGGGAGCCCTGCCCAGCCTTGCTTTGCGCATTCCCATTGTCAACAGAGAATACCTGGGCCTGCAGAAACAGAAGCAACCACCACTTATCCTCACGTTCCCTGCAAGTGCTGTTCCAGGGTGTGCTAAGCAGTGGATTCCAGCATCTGCACTTTCTAGGATCCTAGTGTTTTCTAACGCAGCCATGGTGTTTGCCATTCACTAGGCCATGATAAATGGGTCGTCGGAGTTCGAAGAAAAAAATGCTGCCAGACGCAAAGAGTGGGAGCACTACCTGGAAGCGGCGCGAGAGGAGAGCAGAGCTCTGCTCAGAGACAGCCAAGTGCCGGCTGCCTCCCCAGTATCCCGCGCCAGCAGTGACCCTGCTGCAGGGTCCAACAGGAGTCCTGGAGTCACCCCAGGAGCTGCGCCACTGGCCACACAGGTAGGGCGCATCCAGCCACACCCCTCAGGGCTTAGCGGCCCCGTGGCGTCGCAGCAGATGTGTGCACTGAGCGGTGTGAGCACAGCCCTATGTGTGTGTGTGTCTACGTGAGACAGGTTAGCTGGATTCCTATGTACAGTTCTATGCCCCACCACTCAGTAAAACGAATTTTTTAGGAGAATAAAAATAATTTTTAAAAAATTCGAAACAGTACAGAATTTCACTAACAAAATGATAGGGATTCAACAATGGTTGTTGTTGCATATTGTCTTCAAAGTAGTGGTTCAGATTACCAGATATAAGCGTGCAAAATTGGTCAAAAAATAATAATGAAAAAGAAGTGGGGGAAAAAAAAAAAAAAGTTTAAGCATTAACTGCTCCTTTCAGTAGAACAGCAAAAATCAGTGTTACAACTGTCCAAGATAACGCTCTATATGTACTTAAATTTCTTTTTCTCCTCTTTGTTTTCTCCTTTCCCTCATCCCTGTTGTTCTTTCCCTTTGAACAAAATCTTCCCTTTCACAGTATCTATCGTACCTTTCAGATTTTATTTGCTCTTTCAGGTTCTAACACTTGGGAGACAATGGTGTTTATACATCAGGTCTGATTTATTTCACTTATGAATATAATCTCCTGTTGCATCCATTTACCTATAAAATCCTCAAGTTTATCTTTTTTTAATAGTTGAGTAATACTCCATTATATAAAAATACCATATCTTTGTTATCCATTCCTCAGTTGATGGGCATTTCAGTTTCCAAGATTTAGCTATGACAAATTCTGCTGCCATAAACATGGGTGCACATATATCACTGTGGTATGTTTTCAGTTCTGGAAAAATTCCCAGAAGGGAAATAGCTGGCTTGAGTGGGATCACTAATCCTAGTTGTTTTTAGGACTCTCCACTCTGGCAGTTACACCAGTCTACACTCCCACCAGCAGTGGAGAAGGGCTCATTTCTCCCCACAGCCCCTCCAACATCTGTTAGTGGCTGACTTTTTTTTTTTTTTTTTTTTTAAGCCATTCAGCTTTTGGCAGTTTTTATTTTTTTTTCCCATAATTTTATTGATAAACAAGTAGCAATGAGACAGTTTCAATTCAAATTGGTAGGACAGTTTCAATAATAACACATTGCATACATTCTTCCTAGTGGTTAATTGCTGTACAAGATGCGGATATGCTATCCTATTTACAAACACCATTAGAACGAATCACTCTATTCATTAAGAGAATGTAACTATATATCTATTCTAACCACCCTGAATACACAGATACAAAATGGACATTCATCTGTATCCCCTTTTTTGTTAAGTTCCGTTATTTGAATATTATAGGTGTGTAAACTCAGCAAAATATTCTAAAAGAGTCCAGTAGCCCATAATAGTATCGGGTCTTCCGCTTGACAGGAGTGGCTGACTTCTTGATGATAGTCATTCTTTCTGGGGTGAGATGGTATCTCAGCGTTGTTTTAATTTGCATTTCTTGAATGACCAATGATGTTGAACATTCTTTCATATATCTATTTGCCATTTATATTTCTTCATCTAAGAAGTATATAATCATCTCAGATGCCCATTTTTTTGATTGAGTCTTTGAATTTGGGGAGGCCTGATTTTTCTCTAATTTACTCCCTTTTCTGAGAGACAGTCAGCTAAAATTTCTTCCCAGTTTGTGGGGTTTTTTTTTTACTGTTAGTAATTTATGTGCCAAAACTTTTGATGAGATCCCAGTTGTTGATTCTTTGAAGTATGCTCTGTGCAGTTTGGTTTTTGTTCATAAACTCTCTGCCTACCCCTATATCTTTGAGATCCCTACCTACTTTCTCCTCCAGTAGATTTAGTGTTTCTGTTTTAATATTTAAATCTTTGGTCCATTTTGACTTTAGTGCATGGTGACAGACATGGGTCTATTATTAGCCTTTGGTGTGTGGAAAGCCAGTTTTTCTACCACCATTCATTAAAGAAGCTGTCTTTCTTCCTCACTGAAAGTAATTCTAAAGATAGACTATGTCCAAATCTTCCTTTGGATTATAAAACAAGTAAGCTAAAGCTATAGCTTAATATGAATACGAGGTTAATGCAATATAGATTATTCCCCTCTAGGTGTTGTCAACATTCACTATAAATTCCCTAAGTCACATGGCTTTCTAATAAAATGTCATCTCAGGCTGGGAATATAGCTCAGCGGCACAGTGCCTGCCTGGCAAGCATGAGGTCATGAGTTTGATGTTTGATTCCTAGTTCAAAAAAAAAATTAATCTCTGTGGAACAGATATTAACTGGAAGAAATATATCAATTTAGCTTATCTGGCTTTCATTGTTGCCCTTCACATTGGTTTTATTCCAATCACAATAACAATGTTAGAGACTAAAACTATCGTTAAGACTGTTGCGCGGATTGGCTCGTGTATAGGTATCAGCACATTATTTGAGTGATCCAATGACATCATGAGCTTCCCTGCAAACATTACCAGCATTCTGCCCTGTTGTATTAGCACACAAAATGTGGAGTAGGGAACCCAAGAGAAAGTAGAGCTCAGGGATGGCAAACCCTTTAGAGCTTTCAGTGATAACAAATACCTGGCTGTGACACATGTGCTATAGGTTCACCACCTCTGCTGAAGTTTGTCATTTTTGCCAAAACAAATAATTGGTAATAAAACCAACGACAAGTTTAATCATTAATTGCCAGTGGAAACTGGAAAATCAGAGTCCAGTGTTCTGATCTGCAGGTGGTTGTAGAATTCCATCAGCTGATTGAGATGAAACAGGGCAAAGATGAAACCTGCCTTCCAAAGCAGTAATTCACAGAAGCAGGGGAAATTCCATCCTCAGTGACCCAAGAAGTGCCCAGCTAGGTGGGCGTGTGGAAGAGTACAGCGCAGGAGTGCACCCACATAAGCGGGCTTCCTGCATGGCCGTGCCACTTGCCCTGGGTGGGGGGACTTGGAGGGCTTAATGTGTGATCTGAGACAGCAGGCTAGTTACCAGCAGAGGGCAAGGCTGCCTCCTGTCTCCCATAAACAAGAATAAATTCTAAGTGGGCCAACAAAAAAAAACCTAAAAGTACATGAATAATAGCATGAAAAGGTCAGTTACTCAAGTTTATCCAAAGTTAATACATACTTGCAAAGAACTGGGAATCATGTAACTGTTCGTTTGTAAGTGACTGATTAATTGATGTTACTTGCATAAAATAAGATTGGCACCCATGAAAACAAAACATGTGAGCCATGTGCACATGTTGACAGCAGGAAGATCTGTGAGCACATATGCTTGGGTACCCATGGAGAGTGGGGAAGGCTCCCTGGAAAGCTTTAGTGCTCGGTGTCTCCAGGCAGTTGAGGGGCTCAAGTGGGAGACTTCATTGTACGCCTTTGAATTTTTCCATGTTTGCATTTTTAATTTCAGAACTAATTAATGAAAGAAAAAGGGAAAGATAAGTTTCATGTGTTACTTTAGAGAGTCAGTGAAATGTTCAGTGAACAGTGTTAATTTGAAGCGTAAGTGCCTGTCCAGTGCACTTAGCTCTGTGCTAGCCAGCACGTGATGTGCCCACTGCGCTCTCTCCATCTGTATCATTTAAGAATTTGCTAGCAGGTTATGTCAAATTTTGACATTTTTTAATCCAAAACTCTCCTGTATGAAAGTAATAATATGACTGTAGATTGATATTTGGTTTTAATTTTCGGTCCCCTGTTAATGCAACACCATGTTAAAGATGAGCATCTTTGTCCTGGCTCCATGCTAAGATTCTGACTTTAGCGTGGGCCTTATATGTGCTTTCTCTAACAGAAAATTCAGGAGCTGGAAACTTCCCTGCGTGAAGCTAAAGAAAGTGCAGTGCATAAGGAAGACAAGATTATAAAGATGCAGAAAGAACTTGAAATGTCCCGTGATGTAATATTGAAGCTTCAAGCAAAAGTTAATGAATCAAATAAATTCCTTGAAAAATCAAATGAAATGATTCAAGCACTTCAGGTAACTTCAGTCATTTTATTTAAAGAAATATTTTTTTAAGCTGTTAAGTTTGACAAATAATTCACTGTTATGTTTTTCTTTTACTACAACTTCCTAAAATTCCTGCTACATTGGAATTCATTATTCAAACTAAACTAGATGAATGGATAAATAACCTGTGGTACATACATGCAGTGGATTATTACATAGCACTTAAGACAAATGAGCTATCATATCATGAAAAATGTGTGGAGAATCTGAAATGCATATTGTTGAATGAAAGAGGCCACTCTGAAAAGGATACACACTGTACATTTCCCAATATGTGACATTTTAGGAAAGGCAGAACTAGAGAGACATTAGAAAGCCTGACATTCACCAGCGGGTCGGAGGAGGGAGAGGGGTAAGTAGGTTGTGCACAGGGACTTGCCCTGCCGTGCTGCGGTCTTGACGTGACTGCTGGGGTTGAGTGCACTCTGTTCCTCAGCTGTAGCAGGGCCCAGCCTATGCTTGGTGTTAGTAATCACAGAAAGGAGGGGACAGCTGTGTATGAGAAGGCTGTCTGCCACAAGCCCACAGATTATTTTATAAGAAAAGCAGACAGGTAGACAAAGTATGTATTTCTCTAAAAAGAAACCAGAAAGGTTTCTGTCTAACTGAGCTATCATCTTTTGGAACCAAATGTCTCTGTGGTGCTTTGGGACCTGGCGATGCTCCCATTGCTGGCCAACGCTGTCTCCTGTGTGTGGCTCGTCCTCCACAGGTTCCATCAATCCTTCTATCCTGCCAGTGTGTCACTTTTCTTCATTGGAAAAAGTTCTTGTCTAAAATAAAAACTATGTCTTTTTTAAGTACTAACTTCAAATATACCTTGCATTAAGTAGTGAGGCACTGTTCGGTTAGCATGAACCCTTCTCAGGTTTTCGGTATATTTGTAGTTTGCTCTTTTGAAACATGCCTACTAGAGCAAAGGTAGCTAGTGACTCTTTACAGTTAGAAAAATTGAGATTAATCATTCTATTCCTCTTCTCTCTATAAAAATTAGGACAAAGCTGCTTTAGGAGCTAAGCCATATAAGGAACAAATTGAAGACCTCAAGACGAAACTGGTGAAATTAGACCTGGAGAAGAAGCAGACTGCCAAGGAATTTGAGAAGGAGTATGTCTTTGTTCAGTCCTTATCAGTAACTCAAAAGTGGGCTTCACGGGCCAAACTTAGGGGAATGTGCACTTGTGCTCACGTAGAGCTTGACCAAGGTCTCTGCTCGTCTCTTGATTTCACCCTCTTTTCCTATTGTATGTTTGTGTAAAGACGATACTTCTTGGTTTAGAGGCCCCCGGAGCCCCAGAGCGTACCCTCTGTTTATCATTTTCCTCTATTTACCTGTCTCCATTATAGCAGGCCCAGAGTTCTTTGTGCTGTAACATAACAGACAGAATTTCCCATGGAGTCAGGCAACTGAATGTGGGAGTAAGCCCCGCATGAGCACGCAGCCTGCCGCATGCGTCAGGGCATCACATCATAATCAATAAAAGAAGTCTAGATTACCTAAATGTTTCTGAAGATATCCTTTGGCTCCTAATAGTTCTTCATCTTAAACAAGTGTCTAATGATGACCTCTAATTCTGCCTGAAAGGTAGTGCTCTCAGTCTTTTTTTTTTCTCTCCACACTTCTAACCAACCTTTGATAAGAGCTTATACTTTCAGTGAAACTCACAATGTTGAATTCCTCATTCTAAAGCATGTTTCATTATAGGATACTCAGCAGATAATCCATCATGTGTTAGGGGCTGTTTTGTTTGTAGTGCTGGGATTAAACCCAGCACCTCGCCTATTCTAAGCAAGAGTTCTACTACTGAGCTTTATCTCCTGCTCCTTTTAATTTTTATTTTGAGAGTCTCACTACAGTCCCTGTGTGGCCTCAAACTTGAGATTCTCCTGCCTCAGTCTGCTAAGTAGCTGGGAATACAAGTATTTACCCCTAAGCCTAAATGCTTTCATAGCTTTTACGAAAGGCAGAAAGTCTCTTCTCCCAGTGCTAACTAAGGTCTGAATCAACCATTGGTTACTCTTTCCCCTGGGGAACAGGGATCCATCTGAAATTGACCTTGACCTTGACCTTGATCTTGGACCCCACTGTTTGTTTACTTTCCCAACAATGTGGGAGTGAAATTGCTTCTCTCTTTCATGTTCTGTTCACTTTTACCTTCAGGTGGGTTGTTTGCTTGACTTCCTGGAAATGGCTTAATTATTTTGTTTTGTTTTGTTTTGTTTTTGTTTTTGTTTTTGTTTGCACTACCAGGGATTGAACTCCAGAACTTCTGTTTGCCAGGCAGGCACTCATGGCACTAAGCTATATCCTTGGCCCTTCATTCGTTCATTCTTTTTCCTTCCTTCCTTCCTTCCTTCCTTCCTTCCTTCCTTTCTTCCTCTCTCTCTCTCTCTCTCTCTCTCTCTCTCTCTCTCTCTCTCTCTCTCTCTGTTTTAACAAACAAACCTCGAATAAAATTTTGTTCAATACCCATTTAAAAGCTAATAAGCTTCCAAATTTTTTAAAAGAATTGATTTCTCACTATAAAGAAACTGGAGTATTCTACAACCACACAGAACACTTGTGGTTTGATGGCCCTATTCATGACCAAAAAAGACATGACAGTACCGGAGCAGTCCCAAGAGGCCAGGCCCTGCCTGCCCGTGCTTTCAGGCAGTGCATCACAGGGGCCAGTCCTGGTCCTGCCCGTGCTTTCAGGCAGTGCATCACAGGGGCCAGTCCTGGTCCTGCCCGTGCTTTCGGGCGGTGCATCACGGGGGCCAGTCCTGGTCCTGCCCGTGCTTTCGGGCAGTGCATCACGGGGGCCAGTCCTGGCCAATGGTCCTGTAGCTGCTTCCGTGTAAAAGTAGTTGCTGGGTTTTTCACATTTTTGTTATTATTCTTGTTAGAATTGCTTCTACAAGAGCCACTGTAGAACATCAAGATGAAGTGATACGGCGCTTGAAGGAAAACCTTAGAAGAAATCAACAGGCTCAAGATACATCAAGTAAGTACACAATGTGGTCACTTTCAGATCTATTCCATCTTCCCCCTCAGCGTAGTTTTGAAAACTGCAGATCTCACTTCTGTGCTGTTATTAGATCGTTGCCATTTCCATATCTCCAGGGACCCCTCACCCCTGTAAACATTAAGCTGGTGCTAAGCACTGTCCATAGCTTGAACTTCCTGGATGGCCTCAAGGACGGTCCATCTAAAAAACAAGGGAGAAAGGTGAATTCTCCACTACACGGAGTCAGGATATTAGTCTTGATTTGTGGGTGACCACGTTCTTGCAGGTTGGGGTTTCCTTATCTGAAGTATTTAGGCTTTTGGATTTTTCCAGATCCTGAAATGTTTACATGGACATAACGAGGTGTCTTGGGGCTGGGACCTAAGTGTGAAGACACAGTTAGGGATCTGCGCTTCTTAGACCCTCATCTACATGACTAGAAGATAACTGTACTTAATGGTTCTCATACTCTGTGCGTGAAACCAGATTATTGTGCAGTGGGCCATCAGAAAGCAAAACGGCTTCCAAGTGGCTGCTGAGGGACACTCCAAGTTGTCCTCACAGGGCCATGCAGGGCTCCAAGTGTTGGCCACAGGCACATCTATGTCCCGTGTGGAGCACTAGCTGACAGGGGCCGCCAGGTCAGCAAGTGTAGGTGGAGCCCTTGGGTGCCCCGAATGCTGAGGTGGAGTCTGCTGAGGAAGAGTCTGGAGACATCAGAAGCGAGGCAGTTTCCCGGAAGGGGTGGGCTCTGGTTGCCCTAGTGCGTCCTTCACTCTGGACTTTGGAGACGAGTGAAGTCACCGCCAGTGTACTCGCCCCACAGTGATCGTGGAGTCTGGCAATACGCAGCACCCCCAGAACCCCCTGACCTGCGGCGGGGGCAGCGGCATCGTGCAGAGCACCAAGGCGCTCATCCTGAAGAGTGGGTACCTGCGGCTGGAGAAGGAGCTAGCAAGTCTGAAGCAGCAGAAGGAGCGGCTGGAACAGCAGAAGAAGGAGCTGCTGAGGTGAGGGCCAGGCCCCCAACCCTGGGCCTGTGTAGACTGGTCTTTTTTTTTTTTTTTTTTTTTTTTCAGAACTGGGGATTAAACTCAGGCCCTTGTGCCAGCCCCAGGCTCTGGGTGTGTGTCATCAGGTGACCTGCGGGAAGCACAGAGCTCCTGGGGGCCAAGCACACAGTGCATTGGCCAGGTTCTCCCAGGGAAGATCAGAGTCCATGTGCCAAGTGTGCTGCCAAAAGCAGAAGGAAGTAGGCCATGAATAGTCTCACTGACACAGTGCCTCCCAGTGAGGGCTCTGAGCAAAGGCAGAATCTTCAAGAGGGCGAGAGAGAACTGCAGCCCAAGGAGGGAGGTGAAGACCAAAACCAAAATCATCAGAAGAGACCCAGAAGCCGGGTAAGACCTAGGCTGTTGAAAGAGTGATTTTTTTCATGAAGATGCCCCAGAAAGTCAGAAGACTAAAGTTTTTTTTCAAAATTTCATGATCACAGTTTTACTTTAGCTTTTTAATTTACACAGGAAACATTGGGTTGGTGGGGCATGGCCTCTCACACCTGCGGTCAGGAGGCTGAGACAGGAGCATAGCTAGTTCACACCCTAACTAGCCTCAATTACAAGCTGTCTCCAAAACAAACAAGTAGGGCTGGGGAGATAGCTCAGAATAAGCACTTGCCTGGCAAGCACAAGGTCCTGAGTTCAATCCCCAGTACCAGAACAAGTAATAACTACAAAAATCATGAGGCTGCAGTGTCAGTGTGATAAAATGGTAAAGCTGATCTTACGTGTGTTTTTCCCACATGGGCTGACTGAGGATTGAGCCATCTAAGAGTGCTGCATTTTTGTTTCCTTACACTCTAGCACTAACCAGCAACTCTCTGATGAGGTCAGAGCCTGGAAGGAGAGAACCCTCAAAAGAGAGGCTCCCCAAGAATTGCCCTGGGAGAATTTGCCAAATTCACCTGCTCGAGTGCCTGGAACCCCTAAGAAGAGGAATGACCTCCCTGCTCAGTGTGGGGGGTGCATCACACAGGCGCCTGCACCCAAGGACTCACCCAAGGCTCGGTTTTTTGACCCCCGTTCCAAGTCCTTTCCAGGCCCTCGTCCAGTTCGCTACTTTGACAATTCAAGCCTAGGCCTTTGCCCAGGTAAGAGGACAGACCAGCCACTGGGGTCATAGGTGACCCAGGTGGCTCCTAAGTATCGGGCCCATGGCCACACTGGGCCAGGAAAGCGGGGCTGCCCTGCCCACTCTGGTGCCAGGCCTGCGGCTGGCTCCCTGGCGAGTTCGCTCCTCCAGCTCTGGCACTTGGCACAGCTGCTTCTGCCCAAGCAAAGTCTTTATTCTGCCCCTTAAGCTGTCTGCTTCCCCAGAGAGCCAGACAGCTCTCTTGAGAACACAGAGCTCCTGCTTCCCAGCAGACCTTTGTAGGCTGCTTCTAGGCAGTGTGCGCACGCACCTGCTATGCATAGTGTCTGTGCTGCGGACACTCAGCCAACCACAGAGCCTGCCGAGCTCTACTCTGTCTCGGGCTAGACATGCTGTGCAGTCCCGGGAGGCTGGGTGCTGGCTGTGGCTCATGGAGGCATCGGGTGAGCACAGGCTGAGAATGTTCTGCAGGGGAGGTGCAGTCGGCATTGCCCGCCTCCCAGTTCTCTGTATGATGGGGTTTGTGAGGCAGGCCCTACTGTGAATCAGAGAATATCATTGTTGAGAACCAAATGAGTGTTACAGTTCAGAGGCTGTGGGACTAGACTGGGCTGAATTCTGCAGAGCGATCCCTGGGGGAAGGTATTAGGGTATATGCCCAGAAATGCAGGAGCAGCTGCAGGCAGCTCTGCCTGGCAGGCCGGCCAGCAAGTGGCCCGGTGTGTCTGGGACAGACCACGGAATACACCTGAGGCCCAGGCACATGGGCTGCGTGGCCTCCTTCCCGAGATCTCTCTGCCTCTTGTCTGACATCCCTACCTCTGTGCTTCACAGGGCTCATTTTGTTCTTTGTTTCATTTTTGCTTTCTCAGAGGAGCAGGCTGTGGGCACAGAGAACATGGAGCCTAGGGTCCTGCCCAGCACCTCACTGAGGGACGCGCCCGAGTGCCGGATGCAGTAGGACCTGTGGCCTGCAAGCCAGGCCCGCTTGGGGACGAGTGCTCGAGGCCTGCTGTGTCCTCCTCTCCTCGATGTCAGTAGCCAGCAGATGCTTGGCTCAGTTTTTGCTTGGCTGCTGCAAATTGGAAGATGAAGAAACAGGAAAAATGGGAGAAACAGCAAGACCTCACTGTGATGCTTTTTAAAGGTTGACCTATTTTATTTATTTATCTATTGTAGAGAATAACGGTCTGTCAGCGTTGGCACAAAGTGTACACAGCTTTATTACATATGACTTGGATGTGAATAAAATTATAAACTTGGTTTTAAGTGCTTGCACACTGAATAAACATGCACTTCTGAATCACAGTTTCATGTAGCGTGAATGGTTTCTTGGTAGACTCGTCCTCAGCTCTTGCTGATGGTCAGAAGCTTGTTTGAAAATATACAAAAGGCTTTCTAGATGTCAGTTTTTTGGGGGCAGCAGGGATTGCGTCCCTTGGCTTTTAACGCTGCTTTCCTGTTGCCTCCCCTACATCTCCCGCTCAGGCTCTGAAGCAGGCTGGGTTCTGCCGGGCTCTGTGCCTTGCTGCAGGACTCCAAGTGCAGACAGCTGACAGACGCTTGCCCTACCTCTCGCGTCAGACCAGAAGTAGAACTGGAGCCCCTGCCAATGCCTTTTGACCCAGTTCCCACAGACGTGCACATGGGTGGGCCTTGTGCATCCGTAGGACTACTTGGGTCTGGTGCTCTTATGTGAGGGCCGATGCTTGCAGGGTGCTGGGGTCCATATCGTGTTCTCAGAAAGGTCTGCAACCTGCAAATGCTTTAACCACTATGGATCTAGGAAGCATCTAACACAGTCATACCTTGGTACTCAAGTACTGAACATCAAAATTTTATCCGTTTTTGTCGCTGGTGTGGTACTCAGCATGCAGACTGTACCTTGCCAGTGTTGATTCCTCACAGTGAAACTGTCCAGCACATGTCTTCTGTGCTGCTCATTAGGCCTCTGAAAACCAATGGGTGGTAAGAACCTGGTGCCACCACATTGCTCTGTGTCACGTGACTGAGCAAATTAAAGCAGCTGTGCACAAGGTCATCCAAAGCTGCAGTGATGTCAGAGCAACCAGCGTCGAAACCTAGCCAGCCTAGGTTCAGGGCTCATACGGGTCCAGATCTTCAGTGGCCTGGGTTCCTTCGCTTCCCCAGCCAGTCGTGACCACACTGGAGCAGCCAGGCAGAAAAGACAGACTTGGCACCTCCAAGAAAGCAGCAAGCTGCGAGCTGCCTTTCCGAGCTTTCCTTCTCTTTGGGGATAAGTTCCAGATTCCACCACCAGGTGGCAGCTCGCACACATAAAGTGACCGATTAGAGGGATTCCTTTGAGTAAACTTGGAAGACTCGAGCTGAGCGATCTGTAGCGCAGACAGATCCTGGACTACAAGTCCCAGCCCGCGTCTCTGAGCGCCTGACTGCTCAGCGCGAAGATTTCCATTTCGTTTCTGCTTCGCACCAGAAGACGGTCCACCGCAGGCAGGTAAGATTTCCTAAGATTGCTCAGTGAACTCTGGACTCCAAAAGTATTTGATTTTCAGGGGTGTTGTGCTCGGTGCCCCTTTGGAATTTAATCTTAGCAGATCAGGACAGTTGTAAACAAGTCTTAAAGCGTTCCAAACTCTCTGGGCTATCGAAGTAACCAAAGGGGAATTTTTACAGACTCTGCCCACTTTGTGAGAAAATGTCCTTTGTATGTGTCTGGTAACTAAAAATTACACTTTTGTCCTGGGAGTTATCAGAGATCTGGCCTTCTGGGTTTTCACCCTAGAGTTGTTGAGAGGTGCTGATCCATACCCTTTACCTACAATTTGCACTGTTTCCCTGAGGAAATCAATTTGGCCTGAGGGCTGCTGGGCTGAGGTGAGAGCTCTGGGCCCCAGGTTTGGGGAGGGGTATACTGTCCTCGGCTTCTTGTTTCCCAAGTGTCTGCAACCCCCAATATTTCTAAACCACAAGCCTCTCTGAGAGGGGTGAGAGTTGGGGTTCGCCACCATCCTAAAGGGCCTGCCTGCTGCTGTCCAGCCCTTCCTGCATCCCTAGCAGGGAAACCTGGGTGGGAGAGGAAGGCTGGGCCCCCTGAGCCCTCAGACAGCCCCAGAGACTGCTGTGCACCCTCTCTGGGCCCATTAATGCCTGGGTGCAGCTCATTCTGCTCCTGCTCTTCCGCGAAGGGCAGATTTTAAGGGCAGATTGACCGCTTCCCCACCTTGGGGCCTCCTATGCCACGGGTGACCAGGTATGTTTATCAGACCTGTGAAATTTGGGCGGAGACTGAGGGCTTTCTCCTTGAGTTCAAAGGGAGGCCTCTCTGAAAGACTGGCTTTTGCTCCTCCCTTTGCCTCTGCCTGGGATTTGGAGATGAGTTGGGCAGGAGGAGCCACTTTGTGATTTGGGATAAGGTCAGAGGAAAAGCCAGTAAACATCACATCCTGTCACTTGTGGTGTTGTATGCACACTGGCCGTGCAGCTCATGGGCCTGGATTACCCGGGTGGCAGAGGTTCTCAGCCTGCCCTCTCAGATATTGCTGGTGATGTTTGGTAAAATGTCACTACTGCCTGGTGACCTGTAGCAGAGGGGCAGGGGCACCATTCCAGCTACTCTTAAGAGAGGAATTAGGAAGCCACTCTTGGCTCTGCCTATGTGGCCCTGGGACCTGGGCCAGGTGCCGCCTCCTCATCTGTAGAGTAGGGAAAAGGAATGTGACCTCCTTCCAGGCCCTTTTGTTCATGAGTCTCTAAGGTCAAATAAGAAATCTGCACAAGGGACAAGAAATAGCACACATTAGTTGACAATGGAGAGGCAGCCCTGAGTCAAGCCTAGAAAGAGACTCAGAGCCACTGCTCTGCTCTATGGGGTGGGGCAGGGCAGGGACCCTGAGGTCCTGTGGTGCTGGGCAGCTTCCCCCCACAGAAGGTGGCACAGCACCACCAAGGCTGGGCTGCTGCTTCTGCGATGCACGCCAGGCACCAGAGAAGCAGTGGTCCAGACACCGGGACTTGTACCAGGTGCAGGCTTTGGTTCTTAAGGTTCACATAAAAATGACACCCACCAATGCACCTCCTCTTCTTGACCTGCAGATCCCCATGGGCAGACTCGACGGCAAAGTCATTGTCCTAACTGCAGCCGCACAGGGCATTGGCCGTGCAGCAGCCCTGGTGAGTTATGGTCCTACCCCACTGCAAAGGACTGAGCTGTGCACACAGACACTGGGGCCCCTTCCTTCTGCCCTCCTTTACCAGGGCTGGGGCTGGAAGCCAGGGCTTTGAGCTGGTGAACAGTCACTCTTACCGGGAGGAGCACACCCCAGCCTTTTCTTTTCTAAGTTAGCATGCAGGTTTCAGTTGTCTTAAGTTACAAAAGGTCACCGCTGCTGGCCTAGAGGAAAGAATGGAGACCTCTCACTTAAGATGAATCTCACTGGTAACCAGACTACAGGGAACATGTTCTCTGCACCGGATGGCACTGCAGGGCCCCACAGGTGCTCGGCTTTCCGAGATCACCATTTCAGGCTCAAGGCTCCAGAGCTGCAACCATCCGGTGACCTGTGTACTCTCCCTATCATCCCCACAGAGCTGGAGATCTGGCATGCTCTCAGCAAAATGGGAACTGGAAGGATGCAGCCCTGAGGACCCCTTGTCTCTCCTAGCTCTCCCCTTCTCTTCCTTCTTTTCCAGTCCTAGAGGTTTGTCTCTGAGCTCCACTCCCACCCCCTTTCTTTCCCTTTTCTTTTCCATTTTGAGACAGGATCTTGCTACATTTCCCAAGCTGGGTGGAATTTGCAACCCTCTTTCCGGCCTCTTGAAAAACTAGGCTTATGGGCATGAACCAAAACACCCAGATACTTTTTCCTTAGTTAGAATTTAGTTACCTGCTCAGAAGTGATATATGGAATGTGGCAATAGAATAGCAATATTTAGAGGTGTTAAAAATAGAATTTTTGTTTTTTTAGGAAACACTGCCTTGTTTGAGGACCAAATCATATGATTAGTACCATATGTGCCACGTTGTTCTAATGAATGATAAAAATAACAACGACATGGGTGATAAGACTGGAGAGTTTGAGATTCAACCCGTTTTATAGATTCCAGCCATTTTGTAACAACAATGAAAATAAGCTAAAAGAAGAAAGACCAGTGACTCGCATTCATGAAGAGCTTTGGCCCTGGGAGACAAAGAATGTGTTTGTGCTCTTGTCCTCAGGCTTTTGCAAAAGAAGGGGCCAAAGTCATAGCCACGGATATCAACAAGTCCAAACTCCAGGAGCTGGAAGAGCGCCCTGGTAAGCAAGGCCGCGCGGTAAGCAAGAAACAAGGTCTGCAGACGCTGCGCAGGGCCACGCAGGCATGCGCAGGGAGGGAGGCTTGCTGGCCCTGGTAGACCCGCCCCTTTGTTCTTAGTCTGTTCCCGGAAGCACCTGATAGCCTGTGTAAAATGGATAAGAGGTAGACTTCAAATATTTTATTCATCCAATATCTTGAGAGATTTCCTTGCTATCTACAAAGTTACATGTGAAAATGAACAGTTGCGATGTTGACTATTAACAACAGCTTTCTGCTGTGTCCCTTCTTCCTGCGATAGTAGTGTGACGTGAGCCTCCTCTGTGTTTGCAGATTTCCTGCACACATATTCAAAAGCAAAAACAGATAGATGGAAATTATTTTTAGTAATACATTTATTTAACCCGATATATTTAAAATATCATCTCAATGTCAATATTAAGTTATTAACAGAATACTTAATTTTTCATATTAAATATTTCTACTTAAACTCTATAAGCTTCAGTCATTAATTTTCTTTTTTCAGAGTTACTGAGGCATAGTTAATAAAAATTGTATGTGCTGAAGGCATATGTGATACTTCTGTGTATGTGCTAGGGATTGCTAAGCAGGCTGCTTTTGTCTCTTCCTGTTTGTTTTTCTTTGTCTCCGGTGCTGGGGTGCAAGCCCAGGACCTTCCTGTGCCAGGCAAGCCCTCTACTGAGCCCCCTCCCAGCCCAGTGTCTTTTGATACCTGCCGTGTGTTACAGTGTGAATGAGTGCCACACTGGGGTTGTACACTCATACAGTGTCTGTGTGTGTCTCTGTGGGTCTCTCCATGTGTGCTGTGTGGGTGTGTGTGTGGGTGTGTGTGTGTGTGTGGCAAGAATCCTCACTGTCTGCTGTCACCACTGCATCCAAGCCAGCTGTCCCTGGTGCCATCCACAGCACTGTGCTCAGCCTGACTCTTCAGAACTGACCCATCGTAGGCTGCAAGGTCAGACTCGGACTGACATCACAGCTGTGTTTACGGAGTGCCCAGCCCCACGCATACTCCACACTCACACTGCAGTCCCAGCTGGCTCTGTTCCCGGTGCCACCAGCCTGGTGTGGGAGCAGCTGCCCCAGAGACAGCCTAGCCCCAGCCCCAATCCTGCAGGTACCCCTAAGAGACAGGCTGAGAATTCCAGGGACCCCAAAGCGTTTTGGGTGGAGGACAGGTTGGGAAGGCAGCAGAATGGACTAGTCACACAGCCCCAAGCCAGAGCAGAACAGAGAGGAAGTCCTCCCAAATCCCAATTTCAGTCTTGTTCCTTTACTAATCATTTCTGTATCCAAAATAATCCTTAAGCCATATGTGTTCATTTTATTTGCAGTATTGGGGCTTGAACCTGGGACCTTCACACTGAGCTACATCCCTGGTCCTTTTATTAAGTGGCCCAAAGCCTTGCTCAATCTTATTGTCCTCCTGCTTCAGCCTCCCAGAGTGCCGGGGTTAAAGCCATGTGTCACTACGCCCAGGCCTCTACATTTTTTAAAAACCTAACTAAACACTACTTGTGCTAGAGAATGGAGGTGCTTCTCAGACCAGGCGGTGGGTCCCTCAAGGCCAGCCTTTCAGTTGACTTAAGGGTTATTTCTAAAACAGTAATAAAAGAGACCTCAAAAGTGAAGTTTATAAATAGAAACAGCTGTGCCCATGGCTACTGCCCTTCTTTCATCCCCAGCTCCTGCAGAACTGAGGACACAGCACCCACACCCAGGATCCCACAGACAACCAGCTGGTGTGACCAGTTATAGCACCCTGTAAACTAGCTCCTTGGAAGACCCCAATAGTTCAGCTCTGAAACAGAGAGGCAGGGGAAGAAGAAGGGTTATTGAGGTTGTCGAGGTGGAAATGTAAATCTGGGTGTGGTAGGACAAGCCCGAAATCATAAGAGTTGGGGAGGCTGAGGCAGGAGGACCCCAAGTCCAGTATGTACAACCAAGCAAGACCCAGTCTCAAAATAAAAATGGAGTGGGGAGAGGTGTGCCAGAGATATGTAGCTCCACGTGAAGGCCCTAGGTTCAATCCCCAGTATGCAGGGGGCAGGATAAAAGATGAAATTGAAAGATTTTTGCATTTTAATGAGATTTTACATTTTAGTAGATGTAATGGTTAAGACCTTAGTGATCAACAATTCTTCACAGCCTGACTGAGCAGCATTCTGTGAACCCAGCTCTAGGCTAAGATGAACGACTTCCTGAGTTGTAGGTAACAGCCTGCTGTTATCCTTCAGGTATTCAAATCCGCGTCCTTGATGTCACAAAGAAGAAGCAAATCGATCAGTTCGCCAGGGAAGTGGAACGAATTGATGTTCTTTGTAACGTTGCTGGGTAATTTATCTTTCGGTTTCGTTTTTCTTTCACGATCTTTGCTGTTACTTTTAAGATCATTTTGATCGCACTGCGAAGTTATTCGCTGAAAACCTTGAACTATTCGGTGGGAAAAACGGCGGGATAGGGGCAGGTTTTCCTAACAGGCACTCAGCGACTGGGTGGCCCATGCGGTTTCACATTGTCCCTTTAAAATGCACTGCGTGTTCTCGTGGAGGAACGTGCCAGAGACGTGGTGAACACAGCAGTCAGAGTGGAACGCATGACGTGTGGACAGTGGGGACCGGAAGTCTTGCGGAAAGCGGGGGTCATGGTGCATTACATAATCTGGGTGCAGAGGAGCCAATCCGTGGGGACGGCCATATGCTGATTGCATGGCCTTAGACGTGACCCGGGCAACGCTGCTCCGAACCTGAGGCTCTGGGTCGCTGCTTCCCGGCTTTGTGATCCTGGGGAGTGCTCGCTCCGCGCCACTCGGGGGCGCTGTGGCTCTTCAACTGGAAAAAGGAGGGCACCTGTCCTCTCACTGTTTTCACTGTTCTGTCCCTTGTACCTGGTACAGGGTTTCTTACAGTCAGTGACCCCAGACCCTTGCCTTTGTTTCTAGAATAAGCATGTTGTGTTAGCTTAAGTTACTACAATGTGTACTAACACCTAGCGATGGCCCTTGTGAGCTGTTGAAAGTCTTGCTGAGGGAAAAGACACTGGCTTGGTAAATAATGGACAATACAGACAGCCAAGAGAAGGGTTGGAAATCTTTCTCCTGACGGTTTTGTTGCTGTTTTGAGGCTCCTTGGTTTGCCTTTGGTGTTTCTTTTGAATGCTTGACACAGTGTTGAAGGTTGAATCCAGGATTTAAAGCGTGCTGGGCAAGCACTGTGCCCCCGAGCTGCGTGCCACCCTTCACCGGTTCCTTCCCACGGCTTCATCACCTTCTAGGTTTGTCCACCATGGAACCATCTTGGACTGCGAGGAGACAGACTGGGACTTCTCCATGAACCTCAACGTGCGCAGCATGTTCCTGATGACCAAGGCGTTCCTGCCCAAGGTGAGCCAACCACCTCCATGGTGAGTAACTAGAAGGGACCTGAGTGTGCTGGAAGTGACAGCAGCTGACAGCAAGGTTGGCGTCATTCACTTAACCTGCAGCTCATCCCTGAAAAGAATATTGCCTAAAGGGGGACAGCAGGGAGCAGTGCTGCTTCATCATATCTTATGAGCTCCGGGGACCCAGAAAGGTAGGGAACCTGCCCTGGGTCTTATAGTGAGCAAAACTGGAACCAAAATGTAAAGCCCTCCTAACCCGCAACCGGGCACATGCCTTTAGGACCGATATCCCCAGCTTCTCTCTGGGTGAGAATTAGCCCTCCTTCGGGCTGGAACCCAGCCTCCCCCCCGCCATGATCCAAGGGAGGTCTCACTCCACCATACTGGCTTAGGTGACCAGCATCTCTGAATGCTGCTGAGCCAGAACATAAGATGAGCTTTGCTGATGGAAGAGCAGAACTGGAGGTTGCTTGGATATTCAGCCAATGACAGGGAGGTTAGTACTGATCTGATAATGAAGGGACTGCTTAACCTTCTTGTCTTGTGCCTGGAGGATTTATGAGTGTTTCAGGAAGTGCTGAAATATATATATATATATATATATATATATATATATATACCTGTTTGGAGTGTTTGAGATCTTATATACTTGGAATTTGAATGCATTCTTTGAAGACAGGATATGGGGGTGGGTGGAGCAGAGGCCCTGGTAGGAGAGCAGAGTGTAGGTCACCCTGAGGGAGGCTGTCACACTTAAGGGATACATCTGTGCAGGTCTGAAGTGTTTCCCAAACAGTAGTCAAAGAAGTAGGTGTGAAATACAAAGGTTTAACTTTGTGTTAACTTTTATTAACATAAATGTTCTTTGTGTTAAATTTGTTAATTTTTTTGTATCAATATCAACTTAAAATTAATGAGCTTGCCTCCAATTTAAGGCATCTATTGTAACAGCATCTGAAATAGCCAGAGAAACATTCACAACCGCACTGTGGCAGCAGAAGGATTCAGTGCCTCTGTTTAAAGTGACTGTGCCTAACTGGGCTCCGGATTGTGGACTCTGGCATCCTGAGCACAACTGGCTCTGTCCCAAATCAGCCAGAGCCACTGGGGCGTGGCACAGGCTCTCTCACAGTGTTTATTTCTTCAGTCTACAAACAAGGGTGGGCAGTGGCATAGTCACTTGTAGCCCTGATTTGCCAGGGTCACCTGTGTGTCACTAACTGTAACACACACAAGGGACTGGAGCTTTGGAAAGGAAGCATGATTGACAGCCGAGGTAGAACTAAAATGTGAGGCTGGTGTAGCACCGGACATTTGAAGATGTTTTATGTTCCTGTATAGATGCACCGAAAATCATTATAGGACTGGAAGATCTCTCGAAAGGCAGAGAATGAGTTGACATTATAAAAAGAGGGCAATGCAAAAGTAAGATCCACTAGACAGAAAGATGCTTTAGAGCAAGATCAGAGGATAGTTTTGCTGTTTGGGTTGGCTTACTTGCTGGCGCCCCTTGCTGTGTCTCAGGAGAGTCATGAGCATATGAATGTCTGTTGAATGAATGCATGCACTGTGAGTGTCCATGCAAGTGGCCAGGCAGTGGGCGTGGAAATAGGGGTGCCAAGATCAGAGCTAAGCTCTAGCCACTGGGGACAGAAGGCCTGGCAGAATAGGACTAGCCAGATATAGCTAAAGGAGCTCTTCAGGGGACTTTTCTAGCCTGCAGCAGAGTTTTGGGAACATCCATCATATTCAGCACTACTGTTTGTGGCACCTGTTCTGTAGTTGCCCCTGCCTGAAGGTGAGGTGAATGGAAAACCAGGGCACCTTACACCCTGATAGCCGGTGCTGAGCTGGTGCTGAGAAGGTAGAGAAGCCATGTGCATGTGGCACTGTGTGTCTATGAACCTGTTGGACCTTGCATAATACCTTGCACATGCTCAGCAAATACATGTGGCATGCACTAATAGCTTCCCAGCATCAGGAAGTCCCAGCAGTGTTCCCTTTAGCTCAGGATTCCTTCAGTCATCCTAATGCCATTGTCCCACAGCCAGGTGGCGATACCACACAGGAGGGCTGGCAAAGGTGCACACTGCATGCTGCTAGCATCTGTAGTGAGGCAGAGGGCAGGGCATCCTTGCTGTGAAGCTGCTGGGTGTTAACACCTGCTGGGACGATGGGATGATGAGACGGGATGACCAGATGATGGCCACAAAGCACAGTTCAGGGGAGGATTTTGCAGATGTGTGAAGGAGGCACTGCTGAAGGGACGTCTTTTATGATGTTCGTTTTGTTTTCAGATGCTTGCTCAGAAATCTGGCAACATTATCAACATGTCCTCAGTGGCCTCCAGCATCAAAGGTGGGAACCACCCCACCCTCACACACACACACACACACACACACACACACGCATGCACGCACGCACGCACACACACACATCACTTCGTGAACTGTGCTATAAAAATAAACACAGCCCAGGCCATAAACCCATCTACAGTGCTCGCTTCGGCAGCACATGTACTAAAACTGGAACGATACAGAGAAAATTAGCACGGCCCCTGCGCAAGGATGATGTGCAAATTCGTGAAGTGTTCCATATTTTTTTTTGTGAGAAATCTAGAACAGATTTCTTAGCAGAGAAAAAATTCGAACAAGATACTCTTGTTCTTCTACATTTGAATAGAACCTAGAAGAGTCCAGCTTGTGCTGTGCCCTTGCTTTCAAATTTGAAAATACTTATTGATCATTTTATTTTTGGCATCCCCAACATACAAGTCCTATATTCTTTTCTTAATTACCTAAAGTATATGCCAAAGATGGGGTCGATATTTTATTTATAATGGCATATATTTGTAAGTATCCAAAGATTTTGTTTAACTGAACTGGGTTACACCCACATGAACAAGGCATGTGCATGTGTGTATGTTTACATTTATGAGGAAGAAAAGAATAGAAATCATGCATATGTGCTACAATTCCAAAAAAATTTAAAAATAAAACCCATCTACAATTTCAAAACTGCTTTTTGAAAAATTGGTCTTAGTTCCTTAACTAATAAGAGCCTTGTTGTAGACATAAAGCAATCATAAAATTAAACAAAATTGTCTCCTTGGGTTTCCTTTTTATTCCTTCTTCTGGATGTGAACAGAGTTGAGGAAGGGCAACACTTACCATTTCATTAACTCACGAGGATGTGGCAAGTGCCAAGTGCTGCATCCCTTACAGCTGTCCATGTGGAACGGATGAAGAAATAAAGGTAGGAGAGGCATGTTGAGGACCAGGTGAAGCCTTCTCCTGATGAAAGGAAAGGAACTGCTCATCCACCAAAGGAGTGTTTATACTTTTTACAAAGTATCACACAACACAGGATTGCCTAGTGACTAATGACTGGCATTGTCTCGGGCAATGTATTTTCTCAGGACTGTGTTTTCTCAAGTTGCTTGATTGCTTTAGCCACTCTTTATTCTAGGACTGGCCTTGCCTTGCCCCACAGAGGTGACCAATTTCCAGCTTCAGCTGCTCAGCACAAGGGATACCTGACCTGAGGCAATCCATTGTCCAGCAGGGGAGGGGCTGCTCCATGGGGTGAGGAGGAGCCCCAAGCAAGTGCGGCCTCAGACTAGGGCAGGGTTGTGAAGCCTTCACACAGAGTTCATTTTGGCCCTAAGATGGAAGTACAAGGGCACCACACGATGGGCAGGACACCACAGCCCAGTAGGCCCATTTGGGAGCAGAAAGTGAAGAAATCCCCATTGAGGTGACACCGCTCCATCTGAAGGGGACACAAAGCAGTGGGAAGGAATGCAGACATGTGTTCCTGGTTTAGTTTTGTTTACATTTTGTTTGTTGCTCACTCCTACTTTCTTTTTGGGATCTTCCAAAGGAATTCCCAGCTGGTAGGGAGAGCACACATTGCTGTTCAGTGAGGACCCCGTGTCCGCACCGAAGCTCACTGAGTCCTGTGATGCTGACACTATTTGCCTAGAAACAGAAACAGACTTAATAAGCGAGAGATCCTGACAGCAGTCTGTGAACAGAAAGGGGAGGGTGGCAGGAAGCACACATGGCCCTGGGGACTCACCAAGGGGCTGTGTCTCTGCTCCCTTCCTTGTCCCAGGCGTGGAGAACCGGTGTGTGTACAGTGCCTCCAAGGCGGCAGTGATCGGCCTCACGAAGTCGGTGGCCGCAGACTTCATCCAGCAGGGCATCAGGTGCAACTGTGTGTGTCCTGGTGAGTGGGCACTGTAGGAAACTTGTCCACAGAGGGCTGGGGTGGGTTCCATTCTTGGGGTTCAGGTGGAAGTTGCCTTCACGGGAGACAGGCCCATGTGTGAGGTTAGAGAGCCTGCCCTGGTAGGCATGAGCCACAGGGGCAGAGAGATGCCACCCAGGCCTGTGGGACAGCTCAGGATCAAGTGGAAAGGGCCTGGTACCCTCCTTAGGGGAAGGAGGAAAAAGGGACCCTGCTCAGACAGAAGGCCTCACAGGACATGGCCCTGCAGGGCTGAGGAGGCCCTAGGGTGGCTCCTAGTCAAAAAGGTCATATTCATTTATTTCATGCTATGAATGGGCCTGTGCTGCAGCCAGCAGGCCAGGTCTGCCTGATATCACCTGGCCAGTGCTCCCTGTGGGACGCACATGCTGCACGCACGGCATCTGCCTGCAGGTGAGCAGCAGCTGCTTGGTGCTGCAGAGACAGAGCTGAGCAGTACAGCAGGAGCTGTATGTCCTCAGAGCCAAACATTCTTGGTGTCCATTTCTTTATTAAGGAGGTACCAACCCCTCCCAAAAGGAAAGAAGGGCAGAATCTCTTCCTTGTGATCTGTGGCTGGGTCCTTGTCTTAGTACCTGTGGGTGGGTCTGTTCAATAAATGTGCCCTTTCGCCTGGTTGCACCAATCCAAAATGAGCACTGGCCTCCTGATGAGGGCCCGTACTGTCCTCTGAACAGGAGTAACTTGTATCCAGAATCAGAGCCTCCAGCTGGTTTGGGAAGCTTTGGAGGAGTGAGACCTGTGGGATGGAAAGCTGGAAAGCTGCCCAGAGTGTGGAAGGAAGGGGCACAGGCACCCTGGAAGAGCTTTAGCACATACTCACGTGGCTTGTGTCTAGCTGTTGTTGATATCACTTACCCTATGGAATAAGTGGCAAAAGTATTTGTAAAATGTGGCTATTTTGGCAGCTGGCTTTTTCATGAGATTGGAAAAATTGTTCCCATGCTCTGTGAGATAGGGAACTAGCTGTGATTCATGGTGCCAGAGACAGAACAGCACCGAGGCAGAATGCTGTGTCTGGGACAGCACAGGTGGCTCTGCGTCAGATGAGTATCTGCTGAGGCACCATGTGCCAGGTAGTGCTGTAGACACAGCTCAGGCCAGTGGTGCTGTGGACCCAGATGAGGCCAGTGGTGGGGAATTAATCAGTGGCTGTCCCAGAAGAGCCACTTGTGGCTGTCATGAACGGAAAGTGATGCGCGTCCTATCAGCCACAGGAGGTGCGTGACGCAGCATGGGTGCTAAGGAGAGCACCGTGCATGCTGGAAGTACATTCGTGGTGAAACCTTGGATCCCCAAAGGCAGCTGACCAGGGAATACTGGAGTGGGACAGAAGCGGACCACTGTTCCTGCAGGAGTGTGGAGGTGGAAAATGTTCAGGTGAACTGGATCCAACCTGTGGTGTTCTCAGGAGCGTGGTCTGGAGGAGGAACTGAGGACATGCGTGTAAATCCATTCGTTACCACCTCAGAAGGCTCCGCAGACTATGACGCTGTATGAATAAGTGGGTCCCTTAGAGAGCTACAAGTCATGAATAATGAACAGGTCTGCAGAGCCTGCTGCAGGGGATGTGATGTGCCACTTCAAATCTTTATTGTTCTCATCCTAACGTATAACCATCTTAAATTATATTTTTTATTATAAACTTAAAACCATGATTAAAAACTGGAATTTGGAAGCAATGAAAAGAAGCAATGTAGAGTCAAATAGCTCAGCAGAGTAAAACACCTGCTTAGGCAGACACAGGGACCAGGGTTCAATTCCCACCAAGCCATGCCAGCCCTACCCCTGGGGAGACAGGCATGGTGGCACACACCTGTAATCCCAGCTCTTGGGAGGCTGACAAATAGGAGGATCACTATGAGTCCAATCTGTGTAGTGAAACCTGATAGACCCTGTACTAAATACATTGGAAGGAAGGAAGGAAGGAAGGAAGGAGGGAGGGAGGGAGGGAGGGAGGGAGGCAAGCAAAGTAATGAGGAAAATACAGAGTCACCTAAATTCCCAGGGGCTGCAGCCACTCTGGAGTTGTCCCCAGTGAGTCCCCACAGTAAACCTGACAACAAAGAATGGTTCTGAGATTGCTATATCAAGCTGGATCTTGCACTGGCAGAGTGCTTATGTGGCTCTGTCAGTGTTGCAGGGTTGTGGGAATTCGCTCGGATAGTACATATAAATCCCTAGGATCTGTAAGTCATCATGTGAATGCAATATGACTAAAGTGTACATCCCTGAGAAGGTTGCGCAACTCCGCAGGGACCTACTTAGAGATGTCACCAGCTAGTGTCATCTCAGCTATGTGAGAGAATGCTGTAGATGGCCTGGTGTTTCTGATGCTTCTCCCTTACTACTGACCACCACCACTGTCTGGTATTTATTCAGGAACCTCTAAAGAGAGGGGTCCTGGTATGGGCCACTGAGATGTCACCAAATGGTGGAGGGTCCTTTTCCTTAATTTATGTAAAACTTGAATTCAGCAAACTCTGCCATGCTGGCCCTGCCCCCAGGGCATACTGAGATGGCAACTGAGACTGGGCGTGGTGGTGTGCACCTGTAATCCCAGCACTTGGGAGGCTATAAACAGGTGGATCACTATGAGTCCGATCTACACAGTGACACCCTGTACACCCTGTATACTCTGTCCTAAATACAAAAAAGAAAGAAAGAAAGAAAGAAAGAAAGAAAGAAAGAAAGAAAGAAAGAAAGAAAGAAAGAAAGAAAGAAAGAAAGGGGAAGGGGAAGGGGAAGGGGAAGGGAAGGGAAGGGGGAAGGGGAAGGAACCGGCAAAGTGTAGCTCTTCCCCACTTATAGCACTGGGCTTTCAATGCCGGTGTTGTTAACACTTAGCATCAACAGCTCTTCCTGCTGCTCAGGGTAAGCAGCTTCTGACAGTTTTGGGAATCTGGTGGCGCCCCAGTGGCAGTTCCTGGCAATTCGCCACGGCTGTCTGTCTGTTCTCTGGCTTCTAGCCACTCTCAGTGGTAGTAGCCCTAGCTACTTGTTGGTTTAGCACTGGGATCCTCTATCTTGCCAGCTCTTAGTTACCAGCTCAGCATTCTCTGCTTAAAATAGAGACTGTGAACAGGAAAAAATAAGCCATGCAAGGAGGCATTACTGGGGCTACTACAGCATAAAGGCAAGCGTGTGAGTAAACGTCACATGGCCCAGTGCACCATGGGTATGGAGTCTTGCTGGTTCAGGGAGGGGAGCTGGTGTGTGCAGTGCCCTCCTTCCTGTCTGGTCACAGATGGGGCCAGGCTCATAGGCCTGGCTGAGGGTGCTGCAGAGGGCACCGCATCCTGAGGGGCTAAAGATGAAGTCCACTGGCCCCACATCTGTGCTGAAGCTGCTGCAGACAAAACAAACACCTGGGAAGCGGATAAGAGCATCTCATGTAGCTGTGGCCAGCCATGAGCTGTTTGTGGCAGCAGAACAAAGAAAAACAGAAAGTATCCCAGGGGAACATCAGGCCTTTCTCTGCTGTCTCAGTTTCCACAAAGAGTCATAATCTGTGTTGTCAAAAAATCACAGTCATGTTATTAAAGCTGTTCTAAAGCTCATATAAGAGATTGGGCAAGCAGAAATGAAACTGTCATTTGCAGTCAAAGGAGAAGGCTTTCAATGATTTTTCTGTCATCTAGACAGATGATTAGCTACCTAAAGATTAGCTACCTATTATTTTTGGTTTGATAAGTAACCAAGCTGAATATCCCCCTTTGGTTTAGGAACTGTTGATACCCCATCTCTGCAAGAAAGAATACAAGCCAGAGAAGATCCACAGGAGGTATAGTGAGCATTTTCAATGTCTTTAAACTTGGGTTAATAATGTTCTCTTCTGGGCTGGGGAGATAGCTCAGCAGAATAAGCACTTGCCTGGCAATTACAAGGGCCTGCGTTCAATTCCCGGTTCCAAAAAAAAAAAAAGTGTTCTCTTCCTACCCAGAGTAATGGGAAGTAGAATTTGGTGACTGCCAGGGGCACAGAAAAAAGGAAAGGCAGTGCCTAGTGGGTCTAGAGCTTCAAACAGCCCTGGGGAGGATGAATTGAGAGTGGCCAGGCAGTGTGACTGAGCTGAACACTAAAGAACTACACACTTACAATGGTCAAGATGGGAAATTTATGCCATATGTGCTTTTCTTCTTTTGTTTTATTTTGGCTTTTTGGTGATACCAGGAATTGAACTCAGGACCTTGTGCTTGGCAGGCAAGCACTTATTCCACTGAGCTATCTCCCAGCCCCTATGCCATATGTTTGACCCTGATTTTTAATCCTCTTTCCTTCACATCAGCTTTCTGACTTGTCACAGTAGCTGAGGCTTGGGACAGCACAGATAATGTGCTTGGGTGGAAGAGTCCCCAAAGCCCTGGCTGGGACTCATCAAGGCATCAAACCAGAGGCCCTCGTGGGGTCTGTACCACGTCAGCCCTTGGTGTGACAGGGAACACAGATGTGCATTCCCATCCCTGATGTGTGCCATGGTCTCTGTGACAGGCCCTGAAGGATTTCCTGAAGAGACAAAAAACAGGAAGATTTGCTACAGCGGAAGAAGTGGCTCTGCTCTGTGTGTACCTGGCTTCTGACGAGGTAAGCGCTCTCCTACCCAATGTTCCCATCCTGGGGCCTCTTGGCCACTACGTGTCAGTGCGATCTCACTGTATAGTCCTTAGCAGGTACGCACCAAGACACCATGAACAGGGGAGGCCTCAAAGGAAAGCCCCACATTGATCTGTGCCACTGACTCTTCCTCACCAAACTTTAAATAGCTCAAAACCTTGTAGCAAACAAAAGTGAAGGATTTAAAAAAAAAAAAAAAAAAAAAGAAGAAGCATTCAAGTTTTTGAAGGGCTGTTGTATTCCAGATTACAAATGTGAAATCCTAAGTGGTAGGTAAACACATGGACCCCAAGGACCATGAGAGCTTCAGGTGGACGGTTTAAGGGCAAACCAGATTCCACTGAGCTCAGCGCTGCAGATTGGCATGAGGCTTTTAGTTTTCCTGGTGACATGTCCGGGAGAATCCCACTATTTTTCCTTTGCTGGTTTGTCATCATGTATGGAAATTACTAATTATACCTCTTCCACTCTGGTTCTGACTAATAACCAGATTCTTCCTGGTCTTTGTACATTTTGAAGGACATGCACTGTTAAAACAAAAACCGTGTTATGAAATTAGAATGCAGAACACCTTCTCCTGATTTCTGTCACTGTATGTTAATTAAACAGGGGATGTGTGCATGGGGGAGAGAAGGAAGAGGAAGGGAGGAGGTGTGGCTCCACTACACCATCAGGGGGAGCTGGTTGGTCTCAAGTTCACTCTCTAGCATGTGGTGCAGACAGGGTGGCTAGAGAACAGGATAGATCCTACAGCAGGGAGGTTTTAGTGACAGCAGTTACACCACTCAGAACCACT